CAGCATTTCCGGCTTCGAGAAGTGTTGGATATCCACCATATCACGTAACCACAAGACACCCCCCCTCCCATCCGCCACCCGCTGCAAGAGACATGATCAGACTCCCCATCTGACCCGTCGTGACCCTAAGACCGCGCCATCTAACGGCCCGATTCCGAAGTAATATCCAGGATCGGCTTTGTTTAGCTACTGCCATTGGATTTTTAATCTAGTTAAGTTTGCGTTTGCGTTTTCGTTAGTAAAGCCCTAATTCCTCTTCGGAGAGTGCCCTCTGTAGATAAGCTACCTTATTCCGGTCGTAGATGGAGCGAAGACCCGCTCAGCCATCTCAGTTTCGCTTTGAGTTTAAGTAATCCTCCACTAAAATGCAGATCGCGATGACGTCATTTTTTCAGTTGAAAAAAAAAATTTGTTTCCCAGTTTTTGGGATATTCTAACCAGGAAACCGTCCCGAGTGTCCCTCACCGATTTCGATGAGCTTGAAATATATTAAATATGTTAAGGGGGGAAACCAACCTCCGAAGCTGACAGGTTTTCAGGACCATTTGACTGTTTCATATATTTACTTGTCTTGAGATAAGTAAATTTTCTTCAATTGCTTAATGCTCTCAGGCATCTCAACTCACATGACCCGAGAAAGGCCTCATGCTTTAAAATATTCTTGTACTCAAGTATGATTTTATCGCAAATGAACTTACTTAAATCGCGTAGAGGATCAATCTTCTAGTCTTTATTGTTTTCATGATTTTTTCGTTATGCACTTCCAATATTGCAATATGTAAAATGTTCATGACGTAACGCGGAACGATAGTGATCAATGAAAATTTATTCGAGGTCCGTGAAGTGCACACATTCTGAAATTTAAGCCATTGAAAATAATTTACTTCTCTCAAGAAAATGTTTCAGATATTAGAAATTTTTTTTCTCAGTGTACCCATCGCGTTTTCGTATCAAGATCAAGGAGAACGACAGTATCCGAAAAATGACGATATTCTAAAACCATACACATCAAGGGGTTGTATTTTTCCAGTGGTACCCTTTGGGATCAACATAATTGATAATTCTTTATTTGGTGAAGTTACTTCTTGTACCGCTTGAGGACAGTGCCCACTCCATGAATCTGTTAACAGTAGACTTTTAGGTCCCACGTTTGGGAAACACTTCCTTCAACCAGATTTTGAAATGCTCTAGAAAATTGAGTCCTCTTCAATAATAGTAAATGTTGTATAGAAAATATCATAAGTTTTCATTTCTTGAATATCATCTTACCTGAAGTAAGTTTCCCCGATTTTGAAGCCATGACAAAAACACTGGATGGTCTAAAAAGATTGCGTTCCACGATTGTGCCAAAAGTTCCAGAAGGTTCTTTTAAAACCAGGAAGAGAGGTGATAGTAATCGACCATCAGCAGAAATGGTGAGTTGTATCGTGTAACTATGTGTAGTTGAGGTCAACGATTGTAGCACACACGTCACTTGTTTAGCCCCTTCCTCCGCGAAAGTACGCCCGGAATGAATTTCTAATTGAAAACCACTTTGATCCGAGTTATGGATGTTTTCTGGGCCATGCGTAGCAAAATAAGGCTGAACTTTCAGCAGGTAATCTTCGATTCTTTTTGTAAAGCTTCTCGATTCTCCAATGTTTTCCGCGTAACGAATTGATTGATCTTTCGAGATGTAATACAGTGTGCCTTTTTAAAATGATGCAACCACCACGGTGAAGTCGTGAAACGAATGTCTTGAAATCCAATCTCTTTCTGGGCTTGCAGAGCCCACCTTCGTAAATCTGTGTCATGAATGATCATTCCCGCGTCAATAGCAGTTTTCATATTTTTCAATGTGTACTCCGAAATGCGTTTCAACTTCTCCGTATATGTTCCTCCTTTATTTATTTGGTGCGCCCAGCGTGCAACTGTCGCTTTGATTTCACCTTCCTAAATTGATGTGAAACAGCATTTACAGAAAAATTTTCCTTTGTTTTTGCACTTCTCCAAAATTCAACTGTCTTTCTTTTATATTCAAATTTTACAGGTTCCTTATTTTCCGAACAACTTTCAGATGATTCTATAGTATGTGGTTGGAATTCTTCATCTTCAATCGGCATCATTTCTATATCTTTATAGGGCTCTTGAAAATCCAAAGATGTTTCTTCAGTCATTTCAACGCCATTGTATTCCTCCATGGATTGAATAAATATCCTTTGGAAGGTGTCCGCAAATTCGCGTTCCTCATTGTTCAAAGGTGTTTCAGCAAGATTGAGAACTTCAAATGTTGTCATGAGAAGTCTGATAACGTTAATTGGATTAACTTTCATTATGATACGGTCATAAAAACATGATACCCACTGATGAACTGTCTTCCTTGATGGACATTTGGAGACTGATTGTGATTATATGAGGAATGAGAACAGAAAACACCAACATTGTGAGCCATACATATTTATCAGCGTGATGTTATTTTTAAATAAGAGAGGTGACATACGGTTCGATATTTTTATAACTCCCGCATCCTCTTCCGATAGGATTTTGTATTAACGTTTGAAGTTTCGTAATAACATGTCCTCATTAAAATCTCATTAAACACGATATAAACACCGAGGTCGCAAGGTCATCTCATTCTCACATTGTTTTCATTTCATTATATTCTACACCACTATCGATCACTGGTCAATTTTTTTCCAGGAAAGATCTGAGAAATAAATACTGTATCTTCGTGTGCTCTTTCAAATCGAAATAATACCATAAAAGGTTGGGTAATATTCTTTTTTATTAGAAAAATCCCTCTTCGCAGGGTTAGTATGCCCCCTGAATTTTCCTCTCCCCCCGGAGAACGAGTTCAATCATTTTCTTCATTACGTTCCACGAGCTATGTGACTGCAGAAAAGTTCGAATTTGGCAAATTTCAAGAAATTGATCTTTTTCTGCGTTCAAATTGCACTTAAAAAGAAAATGCGAAAGAAGTAATTTTGTCTTCTTTCATGTCTTTTGATCTTATGAAACTCGGAACAATATTTTTTTCTAACGAGAGAAATTACTTTTCACGGGGGTAGTTTACCCTCTAAATTTCACCCCCCGCGGTCGATTTCAATTTTTCAATTATTCCCTACAAGCTGTGTTATAGTGCGAAAAATTTCGAAGTTGGCACATTTCAGGAAATTGATTTTTTTGCCTTTAAATTACAATTCCAAAAACATGTAAAAAAAGGCATCCCGTATTTTTTCATGCAGTCCAATGAAATTGGTTTCATGAAATTCGGAAGTTTTTTTTAATAAAAAAAAAGACTCTTCACGGGGGTAGTTTGCCCCCCAAATATCGCACCTCGGGGATGATTTCGCTTTCTATTTCCATAATTTTCCATTAGCTTCCTGTCATATTGCAAAACATTTGCCTAAACATTCTCCTGATAGGCGCAATTGAAAAAATACCCCGAGAGGTGGTCCCATTCGGAGGGCAGTTTCACCCCCTAAACCCGCGTATGGGCGGATAAAAAAAAATACGTGTCACTTAATTTTGAGTCCTCTATAAAATTTGTAAAGTTCATCGAAATCGAGAGGGGGGGGGGGCACCTACCTAGTGTTCCTTGTAAGGTGTAAGTTTTGGGTATCGAAGTTGAAGCAGTGTGAACCAGCCTCGCGCTTGAAGGAGAGGGAGAGAGAGAGAGAGAAAGAGGATTTATTCTTTCTCTCTTTTCCTTGTACTCCACTCATTTTGTTATCCGAGTCATTCACTTATTGTAAACGCAAAATAAACAGTAAAAATGAGGTGATTTGCAAGAGGATTTTGCTCTGTGCGAGAAAATTTTACCCTGTTGTCAAATAATTGATATTATTAATTAAATTCATGAATTACATGTGGGCAGGTATATTTTTGGGCTTTGTTTACGTGGGAAATTGGAATAAGCTCGACTTCCATCAGAAATTTACAAATTGATTTTAGTGATCAAATAATAAATTTCGCGAAAATTTGGCAATTGCAGTCAATGCATAAATAGATTATCGGAATCTATGTGACTAAAATTTACTAGATGCATAAATGCAAAAAATAACATGACAGAAATAGTATGCTTTTCGTGAAAAAAAATACATCAAATTCGATTTCAGCAAACTAAATTAGACAAACACAAAATTAATTATTTCCTCGCTTTGTAAAAATTAATGAAAACTTTCTAAAAATCAAAAATTTTTGTTTTTTAAAACACTATATCAAGGCAAATTTTTCTTTGGTTTTATCTGGAAATGAGGAAGACAATTGTCTAGAAAAATACAAGTTTCATAAAAAATTTAAAAGAAATTTTCAAAAACCAATAAAATAACAAAATAACAAAAATCAATAAAATAATTTGCGCGGAGTTTTTGCAATCACTGCCTAATATCAATCTAATTTTCAATGTTCTGACCCGCGCTAAGGTCGTTGGTTCTGTCTTTACAGATTTTTTCTTGAGCCCTGACTTGGCTTATTTTTATTGGTTTCTGTATTTTTTTCCAAGTTTTTTATGAAAGTTGTATTTTTTTTTAAATTGTCTTCCCCATTTCGAGGTAAAACCAACGAAAAATTTTCCTTCATACAATATTTTTTACAAAATTACTTTTATTAAAAAGAATCACTCGGCATTGATTAATTGATTAAATTCAATGATATGTAAATAAGTATGCGTATGCGGAAGAACAATCATTGATAATCGATTTTTATAATTAGTTTTAGCAGTGAAATAATGGAAGCGAAGCCCAAAAAATCTTTCACAAATTGTTTTGTAAATTTCTCCAAAGAAAATGCGTTTAAATGAATTAAACTTGTAAAAAAGTCTTTTGTTATTTTCGAATAAACCCATTGATTTCGGAAATATTTACAAAATACTAGTTCTGCATTTTCTGGACCCATCGTCTCTCATCACATCTCCACAGATTTAATGTGTACAATGAGTTTAGTTCGAGTAATATCAGTAACTGATTAATAATTGGAAATAATTTTTCACCTGTAGAGTAATAAAAAAATAATTGACTGATATCACTCTTTGTTACCAGAAAAATCTCTTTGGTATTCAATAAAATGAATGAACGATTAAAATAAACATCTAAGCTGAATGGGAAAATTCCCTGAGTTGCAAACAATTCGCTCTCACTTCTTCACATCAAGAAAATAATAAAAAAATTGATAGTTATGATTGATTGCTCAATCATTATCAGTCGTATCTTCGATAACTGAATCCCAGTTGAACTCAGTGGCACTTTGTCGTGAGGGTAACTCACCGAGATGCTGAAAACGCTGTACGAATGAAGGATCTTTATCGCGCAAGCGGCGAAATCTTTGCATCGCTAAATCCTTAGCAAACTCGTACAATTGTAAATCGAGTTTATTCAATCTTTTCACCTCATCCAACTGTTGAGGCGTCAGAGTTGCCATTGTAGCCGCACTTTGAGTTGCATTGTGCTGTTCGAATGCAACCGCAAAACGCATACCAAAAGTTTCTTCGAATGAGTATTGACCCACCTTGAGACAATGAAAAGTAAATTTTTTTATTATTAAAAGTATTTCTTACAATTAACTTTGATGTGGGAAAAATGCCCAATGGAATTCATCAAGAGGGAAGTCCGTGATCAATTGAACAAGCTATGTATGATATGGAAACATTAATGAGTCATTATCAAGTTGATTAAAATTGAAATATCGTCGCTGAATCATCAATGAAATAATGCATGAAATTATCTCAAAGCGAAATGAATTTCGTAGGAAGTGTTCGGAGTTCTCTTTTTGCATACAGAGAAATAGTACATTGTGTTACCATTACGCTGAATTGCACTTTTTCACAAGCACGTGAAACATCTGATTTTTTGTAATACCTGCCAAGTTCTTTTTTTTCGGGGTGTAGTGGGAGGAAATTTTTTGTTTTCTTTTCACGAACAAAAATTTTAAGGTCGTTTGCAAAGTAAATTTCGTGTGCGTGAAGCGAAGCATTACGCACGAGAATTTACTTTGCAAACTACCTCTTAACTTCACGGACGTCGCGTGGAATACGAATTCTTTTACGCTCGCTGAGCCACCCCGAAAAGTAAACTTTTCAAACAGGCATTAAGGTATTTCGGAATAGAATGTTTATAATCGCAATTGAATTGTCCATGAATGTTCATAGAATTTTTTTAGATTTTCTTTTCAAGCTATTAACGATTCAAGTCACTGCTTATATTATACATGGGCTCTTACGGAGATTTTTCTGTTTAGTATGAAACTATATTATCAGCTCAGATGGTAATGCGGTTTTGTGCTAAACAGAAAAATCTCCATAAGAGCCTATGTATAAGAAGCGACTTCAATCGTTAATAACTTGAAAAGGAAATCTGAAAAAATTCTAGGAAAATGCATAGATAATTCAATTGTGATTATAAACATTCTATATGAATTCCAGACGAATGTCATTATTTACCTCTTTCGCACGAAACACCTTAAAAGAAAAAGTTTTTCGTTTCCAGAACCAAGTTACTGCGCTTAAGAAACTCGTGATTATAAAAGGCATTGTGCTGAAAATAGTTTGTTAATTCACGAAGAAAAGTCACTAAAATTTAGTACCAATTGAGTACCTATTCCAAGTAAGCAGAGTTTTGAAACTGAGAACCGTTGGGTGCTTAAGGATATCCAAGTATCTTTTACAGTTTGGTACAAACCATGCTTCAGATTCCACCATTTCAATCATCAAATTTGTCAATTAAACTGCGTGAGAACAATTTGAAAAAAAAAAATCATGAATATTCAGCGTCATTGAAATTACATTTTGCACGGAATTATTATTTTTTTAAACATTCGTTATTTATAAATAAACAATTGAAATTGTTTGAACTTTCGGAGATGTTATTTTTTCAGGCATGAAATCGATTTCTGGTACATTTCTAAATGTGAATAAATTTGTGAGCAAATGATTGCTTACAAATTATTTATAGATATTTATAGAAAATGCTCGTAATTTTCAAAATTTGCAATTTTCCAATTATTTCATTAATCTTCCTCCAAAAGTGAACTTTCTAATGTTTATTCAGATTTTGAAAATGTTTTCTAACGATTCAATAACGATATTCAAATTCATACCTGCAAAATTTAAATAATAAAATCATTGTAAAATGTCGGGAAACTTAGCGTCAAATAAGACTCAAATGAAAGCTCTGATGTTCGACTACAACAGTAGAAAAACATTTCACTGGAAAAAAAATAGCCGAAGTACTTGGATGTCCTTAAATTCAGAACTTTTACGTTTTTAACACTCGATTGGTCACCTCACGAAGGAACTGACGCAGCGCGTCATTTTTCTTCAATTGACATTGACTGGCTAACCGGAAATATAAAAATAAGCTTTTTCAATTGAGGTGTCTAAAAATACGTAGTAGTTTTATACCGGAATAATCGTCGAAATTCCTAAAGGAAAATTCGTAAAGAAAAAAATGATAAAATAATTTTTTCCTATGTGAAATGCCGAAATCACTAAACGCGCCCAAGCAGTGTAAAGTGAATTTAGCAACGTAGAAGCGTAAATGACACGGAGGCAAATCCCCGCGGAGGTGATCAAAGTCACCGGGTCGCGTGGTGACCCCATAATGGTTGAACTAAGAATATTCGAAAGGGAAGAAATTGCGGAATAATTGAACATTAATTAAATATTAATCAAGTCGAGGAGTCAAATAATATTACTTGAAAAACAGGGGATTTATAAATATAATTTTATTCATTTTAATAAATTGAAAAAAATCAATTCCAGACCGTAAAAGTACTGACTTCCAAAATCAAAGTTTCCTAAAAAAAAAATGTGACTTACACTAGATTTAAGTAGAAATTACCGAGAATTAGAATTTCTTTTTTGATTTTGAGAATTTTTTTTGTTATAAATGGAAATCTCATCGATTTTAAGGATCTTTTGCTCGCCAGATGTCAATACAACAGAGCTCTGAAATGCAGAAATTTTCAAACGAAACTTGAAACTTCTATTCTCTGTATAACTAAACCACTTCCTACCGAAAAGGTTACTGGCAAATCGTCCCCCAAAATTAAGTAAAACATCAAATTGTAACTTCGATTTGAGAAATCTCAATATTTTTTAATTTCAACTTGAGAGAGAGAAAAAAAGTTATTTTTTCTCCCTTTTAATATATAAGTGAACCATCCAAACAAGATGCAAGCATTGATATTAGTGAGATTAGTCAATACAAAATCTACTGCATTTCGGATTAAAGAGCAATGGCCATTATGTCATTTGCGTTATGAGTGAAAATAGATATTATCTAATCACCGATGACTTAGTCCAGTGAATAGTTCACACTATGCCCTAGTGAATGAACGTGTAGACCAAACATAAAACATGAAAGAACAATAAGAAAATACGGCGAGAAGAGGGGGGAAGGGGAGCATAGTTCAAATGATAATCAACAAACGCACGACGAAATACTTCAGCAATAAGTAGAATGGAGCTCATGTACAGAACGCGGATTCGAGCAAACAATGCCCTCTTGAAATGCATGCTTATGGCGCCCACATGGCCAACAAACCAACCGATAAATATTTACACAAGGACTTCTATTCTCGAGTGCGTTGGTTTTCACATAAGAAAAATGAGGGGGAGACCTTCTGTGCAGGCGTTTCCATTCATTTTTGTTGAGTTTTCAATTATTTCCAAGTGATTATTCATGCATAATTCATTTATTAGCGATGATCAATCATTTTTGTATGAGCAAATGAATAAGCAATTCAGTAACAAAGTGATGATCGATATAATTCAATTTTATTCTAATGGTTTTGCGGAATATATGGGCAAAAAAAGGAACAGAGTAATTTTTATGAAAATCGTTTTGGTAGCTTGTATACATATTTCACTATCTTTTATGGATTTAAGGATATCCAAATACTTTGGCTATTTTTTCTCCAGTGAAATGCTTTACTACTTTTACAGTCGAACAAAGCTTTCATCTCAGCCCATTTGACCCTGAGTTTCCGGACATTTTACAATGATTTCATTATTTAATATCGATATTAAACCGTTAGAAAACATTTTAAAAATCTGAAAAAATTCAGAAAGTTTACGGTTGAAGGAAAATTGATGAAATGGAAATTTTAAAAAATTACGCGCATTTTCTATAAACAATTTGTAAACAATCAATTTTTCACCATAAAAATCATTTGTTCGGAAACGTAAGAAATTTATTCATATTCAGAATTTTACCAGAAACCGATTTCATGCCTAAAATAATAAGGTTTCCGAAAGTTTAAACAATTTTAATTATTGATTTGTAAACAACGAATGTCTGAAAAAATAATAATTCTGTGCAAAAGATACTTGGATATCCTTAAAGATATTCGGGACAAAATAATTCATCTTCAATTTCATGAAGATTGGATAATTATGATGATTTTTGTCAGTAACCTTGCAAAAGGTACACTGACAAAAAAAATATGTTTTCAAGCCAATCCTGTTTGAATTTGAAAAATCGTAAATTGAAAATCATCGTGAATAAAAAATCTCAGGCTGAACACTGGAAAGTGTCATGAATTGAATTTTTGTTGCAAGAATAGATTGAGCTTTACCAAAAAATGGCTTAAAATGAAATAATTTCCATCTTGGCAATTATCAACTTGGATTTTTTCAAAGTTCAAACTAAACTTGTTTGAGAACTACCCTATCACTCTTATCAACATTAAATTTGAGTTGAATCATCTGATTTTACTACTCCCTTATTCAATTTTATAATATGAGAAAGCCCAAAGTCACTCACTTTTTGGTACTCAGTCAGCATGAAGAAGGGCATAAACTGCAGATTGCGTTTAGCACTCTCCAGCATTATGTAGTCTCTCTCAGCACTCGATAATGATGAGTTATAGCATCCGATTAGTGATAGATCAGCCAGCATTCTTGTCTGTCGATTGCTAGCTAAATTTTTCGGACATGCCATAAACTGAAATGCCAAAAACATCAGATTACAATATATAATCAATTTCAAATAGGTAAAGAAGAAAAAAATCTATTTGACATGAAATAATTAGTTCAGAAATGTTCCCACCTCCTCCAGAGTCACCCCCTGCCAATTAGGGCCATTATAACACGAAGGAATATTTCCCAGGGCCCCTCCACACCAGTGTCTAGCACCTTTCCATGTAGCTCCCCTCTGTACATGTCGAAATTCCGACAAATAACGTGCCACAGGATCACGTATTATCGTTATGTAAAAATAGCGTCGTTTTATAGTATCACTCTCGATCTTATTCAATTCACTATCAACGCAATTTGTCAATTCTGTCCAATCAGCGTGTAATCCACATTTCCAACCGGTTGAATAACGTGAGAATAACCAATGTTCATCTCTATTGGGACGAAAACAATAGCAACGTTTTTTACGACGCTGACATGAGCAAGGACGCTGCAGATCCAAGTCACGTACTAGGTGTTTGCCAAATAGTGTTCCTCCTACATTGAAATAACATAAAAATCATAAAAATATTCTTCGAAATGTCATTGTCATGATTTTTCATTCAATTGACTAACAAAACGTGACAGAAGAGACCTAATTTTCAGATTTTTGTTGAATGTAGAACCCACAACTCGATGAGGAGGGTTTTTTATGGGATGGTTTTTAACCCTAAATTGTCGTTTTTCTTTAGTTACAATTGACTGGCTAACCAGAAAAATCAATAAAATTTTTGACTTTGTCAATCGAAGTGTCTAAAAAATTATGGTAGTTTTTAGAACATATTTCCCAACATATTTCCCAAAATGCTTAAAGAAAACAAATTATTTCGAACAGATGAATTATTTTCCGCCTACGCCGTGACGAAAAATAACGTTCTCACCACGGGAGGTAAAATAAAGGACCCTTACCCACATGCTTTCTGCACGTGGGGACGACTCCTTTATTTTCCCTCCCTTGATGGGAAACATACTATTTTCAATCCAGCTGTGTGGCGCATTTGGAAGCAGCATGAGATTCACAATCTCAAGCTCCCAGGTTCGAACCCGGCCAAATTCCACACCAATTTTTCATCACAATTTTCCACATAATATTCAGCTGAAAATTCACAATTTTCAAACCGAGTATTCCACGGAATTTCGAAGTTGTTTCCAGTGTACGGGCTTTTATGGGATTTATTTTCAAATTGATAATTCACGTACTGGGAGACTCCGAAATTAGAAATAGGGTAGAGTGAAAAAATATACTGAACCGTGTGGCCAAGGAAATACCTAGAGTACCCAGGAAAATAATTCAGATATTTAAAACTTGATGCCCTACACAACCTGATGCTGACGCCTACATTCGGATCATAGTGTCTATTTTATTCTTGAATGATCAACTGGCTGGTGAATAAATATTTTATTTAACACAACTCTGTCTAGCAATTTAAAAAAATTGGAAATATTTTGAATTCTTGCGGTTTTGAATGAATATCCTGGACGGTATCCTGCGGGTTTGAATGAATATCTAGACGGTAATGAAAGTTCGGAGGAAGAATGTTAAGAGACACTGAATGTGGAAAATTGTGTCAGCTACACGAGAGATCTTCTGATATTTTGTCATAACACGGCACGGTTTCGAGAAATACTAATTTTACCAAAAAGTAAAATTTTAATGAAAGCGTAAAATAGACATGGCAAGCGATTTCTTGTTGGAAATTTTCTCATTAAGGATACCCAAGTACTTTGGCTATTTTTTCTTCAGTGAAATGCTTTTCTACTTTTTCAGTCAAACATCAGAGTTTGAGCCCCATTTGATCCTATGTTTCCGGACATTTTGCAGTGATTTTATTATTTAAACTTTGCAGGTCTGTAAAACCCCTCGACCTGAGAATAAATCCAAAATTAGCCGAGCCCACACATTGAACTGAAATTGACGAATCGTCCCGTTGGGATGCTGGGATAATCGTGGTACACTGAGAGAAACAAACATTAAAAAACAAGTCTTATCTGCACCAAAACAATCACTCCCGGAAAATTACCAATTACAAAAAATCTTATGCTGAATATTCCAAGAGTGTACTGGCCCGAAATATTTTTTTAACGCAGAAAAAAAATTAGTTAAAAAAAACATCCATATTTTCTTTACAATCGAGAAATGTCACTTCTAGCGCTACCTAGGGGGCTGTGGAACAAAGTGAAACACTGGGGTAAAAAGGCTATAATGGCTAATTATTTGAAGATTTTGAACACGTGGTGGTCTAACCAGCATCAAAGACTAGCCACAACAATCCACAGCGCGATCGACAAAAGTAAAAAATAATACAAACAACATCGTTGTTTCACTTTGCCCCGGCATTTCACTTTGGTCCATTCTTTTGAATAACCAATAGGGATTGGTTATTCAAAATCAATTCTTAAATACAGTAACACGACGATGTGATGTAGTCCATAGTTCATCATACGTCTGTAGAATTTTAGAGTGTTTTTTAAAGTATAGTATACTCAAACTCCACGTGAGTCGTTGAGTGTAGCGAGGAAAACCAAATTTAAAATGTCCGAAAAAAATGATCCGTCATTGATAATTTTTTACATGAATTCTAACTCTGAAGAGAGTAAGAAGTTATAATAGTTTTTCGTTTGAGCAATACGTCATGTACACTCGGGATACCCAGAAACATAAATTATTTATCACAAAAGTTTGACACTGACAATAATTTTCGTATTAAAAATAGAACTTTTATTTATTTTCTTCTGATTTTCAAAATGATTCTACATTTTAATCTTTTTTTCTAGCTTTGGAAAATTCGTTTTCTCATCAGATTCTGTGTTATTTTCCAACTTCTAAATCAATTATTATCAGTAATACCAACCGGAATATTTTTATTCATATAAATTTCAGTTTAGCATTTATTTTCAATTTTTATCTTCAAAATTTAAGGATATCCAAGTATCTTTCACAGTTTGGAACAGACCACAATGTAGATTCAACCACTTTCAATCATCAAAATTGTCAATTAAACTGCGTGAGAAAATGTTGAAAATAATCATGAATATTCAGCGTCATTGAAATTAAATTTTGCACAGAACTATTATTTTTTTTTATTCATATTTCTTTCCTACTACCATTACGGTTTTTTAGGCTCCCCATTCGTCTGCCTTGCCTCTCCCACTTCTCTCTTCTCATTTTTTGCTGCGTTACTACGGGCCGTCTTACTTTTAACTGTACCCCATTCGGGCTAGGACTGCCAGGAAAACCATGGAAAACCCCAGTCGTACAGCCGGCCGATTGTGCAGAGCCCTAATGTGCCCCTCTAGTCAGTGTGACAGAAGGGCACATTAGGCCACTGCACCGTGCCTAGCTTCCGAAATTTTTAGGCGAGGGTGTTCCTAAGCGATCACCCATCCATGTACTAACCGCGCTAAACGCAGCTGCACTCGGATGTCCACCGTAGCAACACCTAACTCACCCAACCATTACGGTCGGTTCACAGAACTATTATTTTTCAAACATTCGTTATTTATAAATAATTAATTGAAATTGTTTAAAATTTCGGAAACCTTTTTTTTAAGGCTTGAAATCGATTTCTGGTAAAATTCAGAATATGAATAAATTTGTTACGATTCCGAACGAATGATTTTTAGAGTGGAGAATTGATTGTTTATAAATTTATAGAAAATGCTCATAATTTTTAAACATTGCTATTTTTTAATGATATCATGAATTTTTCTCCAAAAGTAAACTTTAAAATGTTTTCAAACGGTTCGATATCGAGATTCAAATTCAGCTCTGCAAAGTTTAAATAACAAAATCATTGTTAAATGTGCGGAAACGTAGAGTCAAATGGGGCTCTAAATAAAAGTTCTGATGTTCGTCTATAAAAGTAGAAAAGCATTTCACTGGAGAAAAAAATGACCAAAGTACTTGGATATCCTTAAGTTACTTTGATACTACTTTAAAAATATTTTTTGGGGCAGAGAATTCTAATTTTTGAGTGTTGTGTACAAACCAAAGGTATGGATAATTTGCTTGTTTAATCCCGTGTTTGCTATTATAAAACTGTTGGAGGTAGAGAAAAAAAATTCAAATGAAAAATTTCTCTCCCACGAAACTGAGCGCATCTTTTTATGCATTCTTATGCATTTTTTCCTGTATCTAAATCACGTTCAGAGATATCGGGACTCCAGATTTTATACGAAAATGCATACGCCGCGCTACCTCACATCGCCGAGTGATGTGATACCACGCATCACCGAAGTGGAAAATTCTTTTAGTCGTAAATATCTCTATCAATGATCCGAGTGCGCTAAACAATCCATAAGATCAAATAACTCAGATAATGAATAACAAACGATTCATAAACATGACTAGATGAGTTCTAATAGGAAAAATCATCAAGAGCGCCATTATACTTATTTTGAAATTAAAAACTTGGATGTTCTTGACTTGAGCATTAAAGTTTTTTGTTTCAAAAACTCAAAAATTCCATGTCAGGACCAAAAATTCCTTTAACAGACAATGAAACTTACCATCGAAGTAAAAACTCGATTACAATTTTTTAACCCAAATTCTTATACAATAGATACCAAAGTTATAAATGATGTAAGAATTTGGATTTTGCTGAATAATCTTTTGATGGCGAAAAAAATTGGAACCCAGTTTCTACACCGATGGCAAGTTCCATTGGCCTTCAAATAAAAGAAATTTGTCTGAATTTAACTACAATCATACTGCATTTAAGTAAAAAGTACCGCGAATTTGAAATCATTTTTCTGATTTTTAGAGAAAATTATCTTAAAATAAGTAAAAATTTCACTCATTTCTTTTGCTCACTGATTTTCAATAGGTGAACAGGCCAATAGCTGAACTCGGGCCAAAACCTGGACGATTTCAGCTTTTATTGAATATTCTATAACTAATAGAATGAAAACTGTACGGATTATTATCACTATCAATAATAACACTTATGTATAAGCATATGATGAAGTTTTTTTTCCAAATATCAACATTACAGCACGAAAAAAAAATATTCGGGAAGGACAGTGCTGGGTGACGCGGCGCTGCAATTTGCTAAGCATCAGTGACAAAGTGTTGTGAAGAAAGAAAAGAAGTTCTCTTCCGAGAGCGTCAGATGTGGGAAATAGCACAATATTTTCAGGAGGAGAATCACATCCCGAAGATTAAAAATTTATTTGGCCTTGCATTTCTTCACATCCAATAAAACAAAATTCACATGTTTGTATAAACTAGATGAAAATTCTATATTCCTCCAAACCGTCCATCTATTGGCCCTAGCGTTCAGTTATTGAGGATTTTGACGATATTCCAGTTTTCCCTCATTTAATTATTGTTTTCTCAATTTTTGCTTCCGAATGGAAACTGTAATCGTGTTTTTTTTTGCGATTTATTAATTTTGGGTGGAAATGCCTAGAAATGTCATGAAACGTAAAGAAATGATATTTTTTAAAAATGTCTGGATGTGTGCAGGTATGTGTGTTCATATGTTCAGAACTGCCCCTATAACCCAAGAATTATTGAGGTAAAGGTGCTGAAATTCTGGCTGCTAATTGGTACTACTGAGACTCAAATTTGTGCTAAAATTCAGTTCGATCGGTTGAGCGGTTCCTGAGATGTAACAATTCTTCGAAAATAGTTTTTTGCCGATATCTCCTGAATCATTTGACCGATTCGATTTTTTTTCAAAATACTTGTCGTGATGATACCTATTTAATTGGATTGAAAAAAGACCATTACACCCTGAGCAATGTAGTTTTATTCTCGTTTTTTCATTTTTTCGCGGAAATTGCTTGTTCGCACGATAACTTGAAAAATAATCGAGATAGAAACTTGAAACTTGGTATGATTTTAGGTCGTATGATACCCAAGTTTGGGATTTTGGATGAACGAAATCAGACTAGTAGTTTCGGAGATATTCAATTTTATATGTGGAGCTCTTGCTCAATATCTCAAAAACTATTGGTCCAATTAAAATTTATTTTTCAAAATGTGCGTTTTGATGTCATCTATCTAGATCCAACAAAATATGGGTACCATTCCATTGAAATTTTTCGTGAGATATCGTGGTTTTGGTATTTTTTTCGTCGGAATTCACTTTTGCGCACTATGACACGAGTAAAAGTCAGAGAAACCTTTTGAAACTTTGGCTTCTAGTTAGGATTGTCAAGGAACATTCTTATATCAAATTTTAGGCCGATATATTTGATAGTTCTTGAGATGGACAATTCACCCAAAATTCTTGAAAAAAAAAACATTTTTTGTACTGAAGTATGAGTGGGATTGGCCTTAATATTTTCAAGAAACGGTAATCCTTATGCCTTCATTTTTTGAAAACATACATTGAGGTGCATCCACAAGCCTACTACCAATGAAATTGGGAGACATGAAAATAGGAGAAAAAAATCCATGGAGAGTAGTAGTCATATGTAACTTGTCACATGACTTCTGTGGGCTGCTTGTTTCTACTTCAAATTATTGTTTTTTCCTAATTCATATATTCTTTCAGGTCTAGAACTCATTTGTTATTCATTTAGCTACTTTCTCGATTTTAAATCCTTCAACATTTCCTTAACCGTCCAGCTACTGGCCTGTTTACCTTACGACAGACTTTCGAAATTCTAGAATGTTCACTGGAATCTAAACACTTTTTCTCTTTCGAACCCAGGGAACAATTTTTACGGATGCCATCTAAAAGTCCCCAGCAAGACCGATAAATATCCGGAAATTTATCGGGAAATTGTTAGCTGGTACACTTACTGGAAATCTGAAATTCGACTCACTCTATCATTCAACAACAAAACAAACACTTACCAGTTTTTTGTATGTGAAGAAAGACCATAACATCATGTGCATTGACATCAAACTGAAAAGTGTCATTATTAAATATATCCTCGTATCCCAGACTCCCCTGGACACTTTGAAGTTTGAACAACGGATGTACATTAGCAATAGAATTTTTCTCATTGTCAAGACTACCAAGTGTCGTCAGGATGCTGTTCCCCTGGACCAGACCCTCGGCAATTCTTGTTGACTCTTTGATATCACGATTAGTCAATGCACATACATGGTCCGGGCAGAAGTATCCAAAATAAATGATACCAGTCAGTGTCAGCAGTACGCAAATACCCACAACACCGCGTAACCGCTTGCTACGGCCACGGGTTTCCATGTTTCTCGTATTGTCACATAAATCCTCAGCCAAGAGGACCCTCAGGTCACCAGTACTCGTGGATCTCACCATTTCTCCCCATCTTTTTACTCCACTTTAACTACAATGTTCTACTGTATATCCTCCAATCAATTGATTATTGAGTTTTCCTCTTTGTGCTGATGTTGTCACGAAACTATTGCGAATGCAACAGACGTTATGACCTTTTTCGGTTACAGGGTAGATCACTACTTGGCTTAGTTACCGCACCAAAACAACGCTCTACTCGTACTCGCCGCCATCTTTCACTCTCTCCGAATTTTTTCATCCCCACTCCATAAAAAATCTTTGCGATGCGCGCGCCGTACTGTTTTACCCCTTCCATGTCGCGTAGGTGAATTCGACTTTTCCCGCGGTTATGAGAGCCGCCGTCTTTGCAATTGGCAGGTTTGGGAGAGTAAAAAAACACTGGTAATCTACCTAATTTTCAATAGGTAAATATACAAGTAATTTACCGTACACTGTTCGAAATTTCTTGAAGTTTCAGTCAGAGCGTCATCTGAATTTTCAATGTTGTGAGGTTGAATTCAATTTCAAATGAAAGCGTTCACTAAAATTTTCATTCGTATTGAAAATTCTAGAAATTTGGGTTTTTCATGTTGAGCAATCATTGATTTTCCAAATTCATCGTGAAAATTGAACATCACATACAGTTCAATTTTTAATAGATTGAGAATTCAGAAAAGTTATTGCCTGAATTTTCAAAATTTTCAAGTTCTTTCAGTGTCGTATGGACCTAAAAATCGAGAATTATTTGAATATTCAAGAAATTAACTAATTTGTCATGAAGAAATATGCAGAAATTTCATGTAACTTTGTCGTTGTTAAAAACTTCGAACTTTTTCACTTGAAATTCCAAGAGTAATTTTCTAACATTGTAGAGGTTTTATATTTTTTTAAGCCCTGGAGCCTACATGAAAAAATATATATATTGTGAAAACTATATATTTTATAATAAGGGGCTTCGCCCCCTGCTCGCTTTGTTCACCGACCCCGGGGGTGGGGCATTGCCCCCCCCCCCCCCCAATATTCTTGGGTCTGTTTAGGTGTTCGTATTGTATAGAAAGAAAATTGATAGAATGATTGAAAAATTCAGATATCTCTCTATAGAATAAAAAAATAAGGAGGTTTAGAATTTCAGGAGACGCTCCTAAATTCCTAAACCTTCTTATTTTTCGATTCTATAGAGAGATATGGAATTGGCTTAATTTATATATAAAAGTTATATAAAATATGTATGAAGCATATTTATATTATATAATTATATACGTTGCATATATATTATTTACAATATACATATAGCATTCCACATCTTGAGACGTCACAAGATATTGTTGGATAGGATTTTGCAGTAGGTGGGTGGAGAACCAGAATAATTCTCAATATTAGTTTACAAGAAAATTTTACTGAAAAAATTGTATAGTCCAGACCGGGATTTGAACCCGGGACCTTTCGATTATGCATGGGGTGTGCTCTCCCAACTTAAGGTAAGGTCACAAGAGAGAGTCCCAAGGGTAAAACAAAAGGAGTCACTAGGGTCAAGAGGGTTATTAGGGTGACACTGCCTTGGTTGAATGCGTTTTTGACTGGAAATTTTTTTGTTGACGGAATTTTTGCAATTGCTGTTGCAATTTTTTCTGAAAAAAAATTCAGTCAAAAAAATTTCCAACAAAAAAATCTTCATTAAAATTGAGTCTTTTATTTTAAGGTTGTACATATAATTATTGAATTAAAATGTGGAAATGTGGGTGCATGAATTGGCATCCCAAGTATAAGAAGCTTTATAGAAATATTCGTATCTTGAAAAATACGGATTGAAATGCTCATATCCCAAAAACTAATTGAGAGGGAATTTTGTCTTTGAATTTTGCTTTTTTGTTTTCATCTGTCAAATAGCGGCATTGAAGGAATCGTAATCTTTTCCAACGAGTAGCAATTCCCGCACTTTTTCGATTGTCAATACACTTGCGACTCCTAGAGGACTTTCTTCAGAACGCTCTCCCGGAAATTATAACCTGAAATTCTCCACGAAACTGACTAGGGTTTCCCGATACCCAAAAAAATATCGATACTCACTATCGTATCGAAGCAGATTGCGTGGTATCGATACCGCAAAGTATTACCTTGGGAAATATCGATACTCGTAATATCGATCTTTTTAACAATTCTGGATGACAATGGCAAATAAAAAAAAATTAAAGTTGAAGAATGTCGCGTTAAAAGACCTTAAACATTCAGATTCATTCACGTGAGGATATCCCAGTATTGTTTACAATTTGGTACAGACCATTTTATAGATTCCGCCACTTCCAATCATCAAATTTGTCAATTAAATTGCGCGAGGAAAAATTGAGATAAATTATGAATATTCAGTGTCATTCACATTCCATTTTGCACAGAATTATTATTTTGTTCATTCGAGGGTGGAACATCACGAGAGTCATTAGTCAAACTCTACGAAAGCCACAAGGGAACGATCAAATTTCACGGACGTGAAGCGTCACGAGGGTCAAAAGGAGATGGTCAAATTTCACAGTAGTGAAACGTCACGAAGGCCATCGGGAGACGATCAAATTCCACGAGAGTGACCCGAAACAAGAGTCACAAGAAGATGGTCAAATTTCACGAAGGTCAAACACCAAGATGGTCAAACGTCACGAGGGTCACAAGGGGTCAAATTTTACCCGAGTGAAACGCCACGAGATTGACTAGGGGTTGGTTAAATTTCACAAGTACCAAACCTTCCAAGGATCACAAGGGGATCGTCAAATGTTCAAGAGGATCAAACCTCACGAGAGTCACAAAGGTATAATGAAATGTTATGACGTTTGTATGTTCCAATGGTCATTTTCCACGAGGGTCCAACGTCAAATTTCGTGAGGAGCAAAGGATCACAAGCGTCACAAGGAAATACGATGCTTTAACGATCTTTGGGAATCACATGGAACAATCTCAAACTCTTTGTAGGACGGATAATGGTGTTCATTGTTCAATTTTACTGAATTTTTCACGGAATCATTTGGGGCCCTGGAAAATTCAAAAATTGGCGATCCCCCTGTGACTTTCGTACTGTCTGACTCGTAAAATTTGAAGGTCCCCTTGTGACCCTCCTACGTTTGACCTTTGTGAAAATTGGCCGTCCCCTTGTGTCGGTTAACTGCCGTGACATTTGACCGTCCCCTTGTGACCCTCGCGAAATTTGGCCCTCGTGGAATTTGGCCATCCCCTTGTGACTCTTGTGAAATTTGACCATCTCGTTGGGACCCTCGTGAAATTTGACCATCTCGTTGGGACCCTCGTGAAATTTGACTATCCCGTTGTGACCCTCGTGCTGTTTGACCCTCGTGAAATTTGATCATCCCCTTGTGACCCCCGTCACTTTTGACTTTCGCGAAATTTAGCCATTCCCTTATGACCCTCGTGACGTTTGACTCTCGTGAAATTTGACCATCCCTTTGTGACCCTCGTGCTGTTTGACCCTCGGGAAATTTGATCGTCCCCTTGTCTCGGGCGTCACGTTTCTGACCCTTGTCTCGCTTGTGACTCTTGTAACTTTTGATCCTTTTGAAATTTGATCGTCTCAATGTGACCCNAACAAGAGTCACAAGAAGATGGTCAAATTTCACGAAGGTCAAACACCAAGATGGTCAAACGTCACGAGGGTCACAAGGGGTCAAATTTTACCCGAGTGAAACGCCACGAGATTGACTAGGGGTTGGTTAAATTTCACAAGTACCAAACCTTCCAAGGATCACAAGGGGATCGTCAAATGTTCAAGAGGATCAAACCTCACGAGAGTCACAAAGGTATAATGAAATGTTATGACGTTTGTATGTTCCAATGGTCATTTTCCACGAGGGTCCAACGTCAAATTTCGTGAGGAGCAAAGGATCACAAGCGTCACAAGGAAATACGATGCTTTAACGATCTTTGGGAATCACATGGAACAATCTCAAACTCTTTGTAGGACGGTTAATGGTGTTCATTGTTCAATTTTACTGAATTTTTCACGGAATCATTTGGGGCCCTGGAAAATTCAAAAATTGGCGATCCCCCTGTGACTTTCGTACTGTCTGACTCGTAAAATTTGAAGGTCCCCTTGTGACCCTCCTACGTTTGACCTTTGTGAAAATTGGCCGTCCCCTTGTGTCGGTTAACTGCCGTGACATTTGACCGTCCCCTTGTGACCCTCGCGAAATTTGGCCCTCGTGGAATTTGGCCATCCCCTTGTGACTCTTGTGAAATTTGACCATCTCGTTGGGACCCTCGTGAAATTTGACCATCTCGTTGGGACCCTCGTGAAATTTGACTATCCCGTTGTGACCCTCGTGCTGTTTGACCCTCGTGAAATTTGATCATCCCCTTGTGACCCCCGTCACTTTTGACTTTCGCGAAATTTAGCCATTCCCTTATGACCCTCGTGACGTTTGACTCTCGTGAAATTTGACCATCCCTTTGTGACCCTCGTGCTGTTTGACCCTCGGGAAATTTGATCGTCCCCTTGTCTCGGGCGTCACGTTTCTGACCCTTGTCTCGCTTGTGACTCTTGTAACTTTTGATCCTTTTGAAATTTGATCGTCTCAATGTGACCCTCGTGATATTTGACCCTCTTGAAATTTGACCATCCCCTGGTGAACTTTTTGTCCCTTCTGATATTTTGACCCCGATGAATCATCTTATTCTTGTGACCTCCCTGGTCTTTAAATCCGTTATGAATATTTTTTNTTGACTTTCGCGAAATTTAGCCATTCCCTTATGACCCTCGTGACGTTTGACTCTCGTGAAATTTGACCATCCCCTTGTGACGCTCGTGCTGTTTGACCCTCGGGAAATTTGATCGTCCCCTTGTCTCGGGCGTCACGTTTGTGACCCTTGTCTCGCTTGTGACTCTTGTGACTTTGGATCCTTTTGAAATTTGATCGTCTCAATGTGACCCTCGTGATATATGACCCTCTTGAAATTTGACCATCCCCTGGTGATCCTTTTGTCCCTTCTGATATTTTGACCCCGATGAATCATCTTATTCTTGTGACCTCCCTGGTCTTTAAATCCGTTATGAATATTTTTTACATCAATTTTTTTTTTCAGTACTTGTCCGTGAGAAAATATCGATCCCAACACAGAAATATCGATACATCCAATATCGCTACGCGCAAATATCGATACAAAATATCGAATATCGGAACAAAAAATATCGATATNAAATTTGATCGTCCCCTTGTCTCGGGCGTCACGTTTCTGACCCTTGTCTCGCTTGTGACTCTTGTAACTTTTGATCCTTTTGAAATTTGATCGTCTCAATGTGACCCTCGTGATATTTGACCCTCTTGAAATTTGACCATCCCCTGGTGAACTTTTTGTCCCTTCTGATATTTTGACCCCGATGAATCATCTTATTCTTGTGACCTCCCTGGTCTTTAAATCCGTTATGAATATTTTTTACATCAATTTTTTTTTTCAGTACTTGTCCGTGAGAAAATATCCATACCAACACAGAAATATCGATACATCCAATATCGCTACGGGCAAATATCGATACAAAATATCGAATATCGGAACAAAAAATATCGATATAAGTGAGTATCGATACTAGATCGGGAAACACTAAAACTGACAGGAGCTATGGAACAGGAGTAATGAACATAAATCCTACGTAGTATTGTTCTGCTAATAATCTAAAAATATATGAAAACCCCTGGAACAACGGATAACCATAACGATAGACAAATCATACGCTATACGGTAAATATAAATTAACAATACTAAATATATAATTTTGCAGTGAAGTCGTGAAACCAAGTGGCATAACCCCCTTTTCAGGAAAGAAATCGCTCTACATATTTTTCCATAGTAGAATGTTTTCAGAAATTCCTTTGCCATTTTAGCACCCTGCCATAATATGCTCAGAGAAATATTAGAATTTATTTATCAAAGTCTGTCATTTCACGGCAGGATTTATTGATTTAAGAATATCCAAGTACTTTGGCTATTTTTTCTCCAGTGAACTGCTTTTCTACTTTTGTAGTTTAATATCAGAGCTTTCATTTGAGCTAAATTTGATCTCACGTTTCCGGACATTTTAAAATGATTTTATTATTTAAACTTTACAGGTCTGAATTTCAATCTTGATAGTGAACCGTTAGAAAACATTTCTTAAATCTGCAAAAAAATTGGTGAGTTTAGGTTTGGAGGGAGATTGATCAAATAATTTAAAAATGCATTTTTTGAAAATTACGAGCATTTTCTATTAAAAACTGATGAACAATCAATTTTCCACCATAAAAATCATTTGTTCGGAATCGTAACAAATTTTTCGTATTCANATATCGAATATCGGAACAAAAAATATCGATATAAGTGAGTATCGATACTAGATCGGGAAACACTACGCCGACGGGCGGCGGAATCCTGCCCTTAATATAACAATCAATTTCTCCTTCCCTAATGAGGACGAAGGGATGAAACGGTTGCCAATCGATTGANAAAATTACGAGCATTTTCTATTAAAAACTGATGAACAATCAATTTTCCACCATAAAAATCATTTGTTCGGAATCGTAACAAATTTTTCGTATTCAAAATTTCACCAGAAATCCATTTCATGCCTGAAAAAAATTATATTTCCGAATGTTTGAACAATTTCAATTATTTATTTATAAACAACGAATATTCCTAATTTTTTTCGAATTTTTATCACGCAATTTAAGTGAAAAATTTGATGATTGAGAATAGTTGAATTTATAATATAGTCTGTACCAAACTGTAAAAGATACTTGAATATCCTCAAGTTTTAGAAAAAAATGATCCACTTTCATGAATGATTTTGTTTCTCCAAAGCCATGCCCTCCATCGACGTTTTGGAAGAGCGAGTGGCTGAACTCGAAACGAAAGTTTATGGAAACGTCAACAATCCATCAATTGATGATCCTCTCCCAGAGAATTCCATAATCGACAATTTGCTAAATACCAATACGATGATATCATCAGCTCTCTCTAGTCGAGAGAAAGCGAATAGTCTCGTGAAACGTCTGTCAGAGTTGAACGAACTCCTGAACATGTCCTTCGAGGAGGACCTCCAGTCTGACGTCAAGTGGGAGATAATCGAGACTATGGAGCCAGAACTTCGTCTAAATCTGGAGCAAATTGAGAGAGTCAAAGAATTACTGCCAGCACTCGAAGTTAATAGCATTAAAAATGTTCCTGAATTGACACCCAAACTGGAAAAATTGACATTCGAGTATCTCAAAGCTTATGAGGAGTCCAGTGCTGTCAATCACACGATCCGGGAGGTTTTCTCCAAGTACAATGCAATTATCGATACTGTTTCTAAAACTCTGGTGGGTCTTGAAAGCGCCATCACAGCAGCTGAACTCTCAGCAATGCCCAAGAAGCAGCTCGACTAATTCACCTTTTTTTAAACATAGATATTATACTTATTTAAATTCACTTGTGATATACGAATCTTGGGACATAACTAGACTATTCAATATTCCATAGTCACAATAACAGCTTTGTTTCAGGACAGTCACTCATATTATTCATTTCGATAAAATCGAGTATATATTGTTATGAATAGCTAATCAATTACATTCTATCGTTACTTTCGTTTGTTATGATCCATTCTTTTCTTTAATTTTAATGTCATTGATTTTTTTCCTGTTTGTCCCATTTTTTTCTATTTTTTAATAAACACTTGATTAATTAAACCTCCGAGTCTCTCAATTGGTGTCAGAACAGGGATTCGGAACCTTTCTTAATGTTGGACATTTTTCAAAGAAGTTTTTTTCGAATTGGAAAAATAAAGTTATTAAAATGGTTGAGTGACTGCTCAAAGGGGACTTCTTCTTCAGATAAAATTCAATAACTGTATATATACTTTTTTTTACTGAATAATACTCAGTACACACTTTCCTTCTTTTTTTCAATAAAAATTTGAAGAGCCAGAAAATTAGAAATGTCTCCAAGTTGACACCCAAGCGGGAACTCTTAATAACATTTGAGTTTCTGAAGGCTTATGAATAACCGAGTGCTGTCCATCACACGATTCAACTGTTTTTCTCCAAGTACAATGTAATCATCGACAGTGTTTCCAAATCTGGAGCTGAGCTCTCGACAATACTCAAGGAACAACTTAATCAATTCATAGTTTTTGTTTCCGAATGGAAGCATTGTATTCATTAAATGCGAAATTTCCAATTTTGTGTGTCAGGATAACTAATTTTAGCCTCAGCAGTTTGAATATGCTATTCTTAGATCATGTCCGGATGTTTGTATGTATGTGTGTACGCAACCGATCGTTTTTCGATGATAAATGGAAAAATTATTGTTCAAGGGGAGACTACTATGAGTTTTAAAAACCACGGGGCATTGGAATGAGATTTCTCACACATTGAAGATTGATTATATATGTCTAAAATTGAATAATTAGTGCAAAAAAATTAATTGTTTATTGTTCGTTTACCCCGCAGATGCTGAAAATGTTAAAAATAGTCCAGAGCCTCCAATTTTTTAGCTACAGAACTTTTTTTTTCTAAACTTTTGAAAAAATATGTACAATAACAATTACGAATTAGTTTCTGGAAATTCGACTCCTACATAGCTAATTGCTTTTTTTTCAATAAAAAAATTGCTCTATTCATGTCAAATAGCCCAAAAAATGTTTCTGAAAGAATCGAAAATATTTTTGAAATATTATAAGAATTTTTTGTGCCTATTTTCCATGAATGGCACAAATTTTTAAATTAAACAAAGTGAAATTAGCGGTGTTGGCATCGAATTTCAAAAAACTAATTTGTAATTGTCATTGTACACTTTTTTTCAAAAATTTGGAAAAAAAACATCTGTAGCTCAAAAATTGGAGGTCCTGGACTATTGTTAACACTTTAAGCGTGTGCGTGGCAAACGACCAATAAATAATTATTTATTTTGCACTAATTCGTTTTTAGACATATATAATCGATTTTCATTGCATCATAAATCTCACTCCAACAGCCCGCGAATTTTAAAACTCATAGTAGTCTCATAGCAGTCATAGTAGTCTCTTCAAAATAGTATTTTCAATGCTATCTTGACCGAGTGTGATCAAGATGTTGATTGCATCATCTGTTGTTGAAAAAAATTTCTTTTGAAACCAATATTCAGGAAAAAGTAAAAAATTTTAATGTTGAGGAAATGTTGGCGACCAGCGTTGATACAATGTTGAATTCAATGAATCATTAAATTCAATTTGCAATACATCGTCATAGAAATTCCATTCGGAAACAAATTGCTAATTTATTAGCAAAAACATACTGAGGAAAGTAATTTCTTACTCGTTTTATATAGATATTATATTTATTTAAATTCACTTGTGATATAAAAATACTTGGACATAACATGACTATTCAATATTTCATAGTTATTGATAATAACAGCATTTTTTTCTGGACAGTCACTCATATTATTCATTCAAGAGAAATAGAGTATACGGAAGATGTGATTGTCTATTGGTTTGTTTATTTTTGGGATTTTCCAAAGGAGTGTTAGGTTTGGAGAAGTAAAGGCATTAAAATAGGTGAGTGACTGCTCAGGTTGGAATTCTTAAGATAAAATTCAATAACAGTATATATGCTTTCGTTTACTGAATAATACCTATTATATACATACATTCCTAGTTTTTTTCTCAATAGAAATTTCTTTTATTTTATGAATGATTTTTCTGATAGAGCATTATGAAACCCACTGCGTGAATTATGCAACCAAACGTCAATTCTCAAAATCACTTTCTCTTTTCTTAACTCTTATTGAACAAAGTTACTTTATACAATATTTACATTTCCTCGAATGGGAGAATAGACATTATCTCTTTTTTATTTAATTTTTTTAATGAAGAACGAGTATATATTCATTGGGCTCCTGATTTTCTTTTTCGACGGAATTGTAATCACAGGATTGAAAATTAATCGACATTTCAAACTCGTGTTTGGAGTGCTGGGATTGAGTGATGCAGCCAAGATATAACAGGTGCTAGACTTGAGTAGATTGCTGGATAGCCTCTTGAGCATCTACTGTGGTGACTCAGTAAACCCTGGATCTCCCATCTGCCTGTTTCTGTTGCACACATCAATGGTGCACCTTCGTCATTCTATAGAAGAAAATAGTAATTTAGTGATGTGGATATTTTGAAAGTTTTCGTAGGAAAAGCGGAAAAGTGGTTATTTTCTCTCTATATTATAAAAATCCAAATTGAGTTCTGGCGATAAAAATTTGGTACTCGAAATTAAGAGTCACAAGGATCAAAATAAGGGTCACGAGGGTCAGATTAAGGGTTACAAGGGTCAGCAATTTCCTCCCTATTGCGGTTATTTCTCAATGTTATTCAAAGACGCTCTTTCAAAATGTTCGATTTTTTTAAACGTTTTTTTTTATTATACAATAATAATTTTTAAGAACAAAAACACCTTCCGGGGGAAATTACGCGGTCATCATTTGCAGATTATGACCGCATAATAGCCCCAAGATGGTTTTTTTTATTATTATAGTTGAAGCGGTTCAAAAACCACGTAGTAATCATAACTTTCAAAGAATCCAGGACTACGTAAATCGGTAATTTATTGTTAACGTGATCTTGGTCGTTCTTGTCATTCTGATAATTTAATTATCAAAATAAGAAAAAGGCCCAAGATCACGTTCGAAGATAATACACGCCGATGTTAATCCATTTTTTTAATAATTCATCGAAATTCCAAATTTACATTTTTTCTTCAGTGACGATTTAGTTATAACTAGAGCTGGTACAACTGAGCCTCAGAGAAATTCATGAAGAGATTTTTTTCTCCAGATATGAGCTACGAAAAAGATGGCCCTATGTTTGACGCTAAATCAACTATCACTTACAAACATATCTCTCTATATATATTGAAATTCGAATCGACTTCTGGTGATGAAAATTTGATACTCGAAATTAAGACTCCAAAAGTAAGGATCAAAATAAAGGTCATGAGGATCAGAATAAGGGTCATGAGGGCCAGAATAAGAGTCATAGGTTTCAGATTAAGGATTATAAGGGTCAGAATAAGGATCATGTAGGTCACATGGGGTTCATATGGGGGTTGGCAAGCTCTGCGAGCGGGGGGCGTAACCTCCTAGTTTGCCAAATAACTGCCTTCTAATAATTCCATTTGGATAATTTTGACCTATTCAAATACTTACATAGCATGTTCCTTTATCAGCTCCAATGAACCCAGCGCAGATATAATTCTCCTTAATAAATCCAGCGTAATGACTAGTAGCATTACACTCTTTAGTATCATAAGTAGGAATTGGCAAGAAGTTGAGCTTCAAATTGACATCTCCATTCATGGGGAATCCCCAGCCAGCAGTGACACAGAGAGCCCTGGGTTGGAACTGCTGACTGGGCAAACAAACAGCACTGATATTTCTCGAAAAGACCAGCGGCTCCGAGAGTTCAATAAGAACAAAGTCATTATCATACAGGAACTGGTTATATTTGACTTCAGGATAAGGAACGATATTCTTGACTTTGGTTGATTGCTGAAGATCCCTTCCAGTTTGCAATTCCCAGTTTGGACTCTGTCTGTGTTTATAAATGCAGGAATAGCTTGCTAAAGCATGCATAGGCCCAAGAACACTTGCAGTGCACGTAGCACCACTCTTGACTTCCCTCAAAAGGGCTACACTCGACCATTGCCCCTCTCCAGCAGGAGTACCTCCGACTAATCTCGCAGTGGGGCCCTCGCTCTCTTGAGACCCACAGGTGAATTCCTGGCAGGACACCTTGATTATCTCCCCAGATTCACAACTATCCCTCTTCACAAGATTAGCAAGGAGATTGGAACCACCTGACGGTGTCTTCAGCATCAAAACTTGGCCCTCAGTGTAGACAGCTGTTTGCGTGACGTCAGAACCAGAGAAACCCAGTGATTTGCAATACTCATCACTTTGAGATTTACTCCAGTTGTCAGAGCAAACGGAGAGCCTCTCACTTCCCATTTTGATCTTTAGAGTCGTGACGTGTTCTCTATCCTCTGACGAGGTTTTATCCATGGTGAAATTTGCCACGAGGCAGTCCCACTCGTCAGAATGATCGGGGCAATGCTCCACGCCATCGCAGACTTGGTCTGAATTGACGCAACCTCCCGTTCTACATTTGAATTGGTCGACTGTGCAATCACACAGTTTCTCGTCCTCTCCATTGGCACAATCAGGAAGTCCATTGCACCTTAATGTCTGTGGGATACACCAATTCTCAGTGGGGCAGAGGTATTCATTGTTCCCACAGCTTTCAGAGCAAGAATACTCGTCCTTATGATCATCGCAGTCTGGCCTGCCATCGCATCTCCAAAGATCGGGAATGCATCTGTTGTTGGGACACTTGAACTCGTCGAAATGACAGGTCCAATCGCTGCATTTTTGCTCATCACTTCCGTCGTCGCAATCGACGATTTCATTGCAAACCAGGTGACGCTTGAGACATTGGCCACTGGCACACTGGAAATTACCGGGACAACCGTCTTCCTGGCAGTTGATTTCGTCAGAGCCATCAGAGCAATCGTTCTCCGAATCACATTTTGAGGAGAGATCCACGCAATAGGCACCATCACGCGAAGTTCCGTTCAAACATTGGAACTGACCGGCATTGCATTTTGAGAATAACATTGTTGGTAATGGGGCCTCTGATGAGGCTCCGAGTTCAGGTCTTTCTGTAAATGTTTCGGTAGTGGTTATTATTTTAGATGGGTTTATCATGAAAGGATTCAGACTGTCGTCCTCAACCTCTTCGTAAACTGGAATTATCTCTGGAGTTGTGCGAGACGGAGTCACATTCATTTCCATTTTAGGAGATTCTGTGGATGAATGCCTGATTGAGTCATTCGTTTGTGGACCGTCATTATCGGGAGTAATCTCGACGATCTTCAGTTTTGGTACCGAGGGGGGTTTTTCAGTTGTGGTGGCTGATTCTGTTTCTGTCATTTGTCTTTCTATTGTTTCTGGGATTATTGTTGTCTCAACGAGTTCATCCCCCTCATCAAGCGGAATAACTCTCAATAACTCCTCCGGAATCTCCTCCGCAAGTGGCTGTGCAGTGGTCGTGGTGAAGAAACGACTGCGATCGAAAGTGACTGGCTCAGGGTCATCAACAATCGCCTCTGAAACTGGTTTGATGTCTACTGTTGGTGATGTAACTGTTTCGGTTGTTGTTTTATTGTCCTCATCATTATGCATCACATCGCTAATGGGTGGGGTTGGATCACTTGCGGTCATTACAATGTTCTCCGTTGTACTCCTGACTTCAATGGAATTTGTCGTTGATTGTTCAGAAATTTCTTCGGTAATTGGCGGTGTGGTCGATGTCTCATTGGAAATCACTGTCATCTGCTGGGTTGTGCTCATAATGTCATTGGACTCTGTTGTCTGGAATTCTTCGGGTAAAATTGGCACTTGAGCTGTCGTTTTTGTTTCTAGAGTAGATGACTGAGTTGTTGTCAGTGAATTGCCTTCAGGATCACCTACGATTGAAACTGTTGATCCAATTTTCTCAGCTGTTTCGGTTGTCGACAAGTCCTGCTGTATCTCGATGGGTAGAATTGGAATTTCCGTTGTGAATCTGTTGCTCTCTTCGTTCTGCTTCTCCACAGTGACTGGAGTTCCTTTAGTGTCAGCCCTAGACGTTATGTTCTCGATTTGCGGCAGCGATGTCTGAATTTCTGTCTCAATACTAGTTTCTGGCTCTGGTTTAGTTGTTTGCTGAATCACTTTCGTGTTTTCAATTTGCTCGCTAACTATTCCCGTCTTTAATTTTCCTTTTAAATCCTTGGATACGGTTTCATCGACTATATCATTGTATTGATCCTCAACCGCATTGTCCTCGAATTTGCTGGGTTCGTGTGGCCTTTCGGTAGTCATTACGTCCATTGTTACATTCTCCGATGAACCGACCTTTTGCAAATCAAACGCATCAGCACTTTCGGTGCTAGTGAAATTAACTTTAATATCATCATTCATTCTGACACTCAGGTCATTAACCCGGCTAATATCCGTATCATTTCTGTCATCGGTTTGTCGTGCCTCAAGGTCCTCAACGCTCAACGATGTCTCAGTGCTCTTGTCTACTGCATGCGTGTCATTCTCTGTTGTCGGCATGATCGTTACACTGTCCACCACACTTATGTTCTCCTCGCGCGCTGTTCCAGTCTGTTGAACAACGTGGGATTGTCCTACCTCGTTGGTCAAGTCCGTGAACTCACTTCCATTTTTATGATTCTCATGATGAATTATCACATCCTCGACCACTGCTGGTTCGAATGGATTCGGGAAGTCCTGTTCGTCCTTGTCTAGTCGCGGTGCCTTCTTGGGCATCTCCTTTTCACGTACCACGTCCGGTAGGAAGGGTGACATGTCTTCTTGGTGTTTTTCTTCCGCTGGTGGAGCCTTCTCCGTTGAGTTCTCGGAGGCGCCGTGGGCGAGGATTATTGGGTGCAATGGATGAGTCGTTGAGAATTCAGGTGTCTCTTCTGAGTGAGGTGGGAGGGCTGTTGTGGTCATTTGTCCTGCATCTGCAGCTTTCTCTACGGTTCCATGTGGCACGTGTTCAGGGGTCAATTCTGGGATAATCTCATGGATGTGATGGATATCGTGTCTTTCCGTTGTTGTCGGAGGTTCTGTCGACGTTGGGATGTTCAAGGGCTCATTCAAGGGTTCAATGTTCTTCGAAATATTTTCCGGTAATTTAAGAGAGCCATTTAGAGTGTTTTGTAAGGAGGATTCAGTAGACGTTGGTGCGGGGTCCGTGAGGTGAGCAGCTTCTGGAATATCTGTTGGGGATCTTGCGTCTGATAACATCGGTGAGGACGTAGTCACGGAGGCTTCGTCACCTTCAGCTTCGATATATGTTCCATCTGCAGCCCTGGAATGTGGATATAGTCCATCAGAGGGGTGAGCGGACTCTGACGGGATTGGCTCAGATGTGGTCGTTGGAATCATCTCCATTGGGGTTTTTGATTTTTCACTGGTAAAGGTGTCCATTGGAGAAGGTGTAGTAGTCTTGGAGACGTCAGTTGTAGGGTCTGCCCCCAGGGGGATGACTCCGAGAGGATCGTCGAGAGCCTTGGGCTCCGAGGAAGGTTCAGGGGAGGGTTCAGGCTCGGATGCCGGTTCTGAAGAGGGTTCTGGCACCCCTGCAGGTTCCACAGAGGGTTCAGCACTCGGCGTTGGTTCTGTTATAGGTTCTGCTTCAGGTTTTGGCTCTGCAGATGGTTCACTCTGAAGAATTGGTTCGGATGTAGGCTCGGGGGAGGGTTCACTGGTGGGTTCGGCAGGTGGTTCACTGGGAGAGATGGGTTCACTTGAAGGTTCGCCAGATGGTTCACTGGGATGAATCGGCTCACTAGTAGGTTCTACAGATGGTTCACTCAGAAGGATCGGCCCACCTGTCGGTTCCACTTCAGGCTTCGGTTCTGCAGACGGGTCACTCTCTGAAATCGGTTCACTCGTTGGTTCTGCGGATGGTTCACCGTGGGGAACAGGTTCACTCAAAGGTTCCGTTGTAGACTTTTGCTCTGCAGATGGTTCAGTTGCAGAAGGAACTGGTTCGGTGACAGGTTCTGCCGACGGTTCAGCCTCTGAAATCGGTTCGCTCGTTGGTTCTGCGAACGGTTCACCGTGGGGAACAGGTTCACTCAAAGGTTTCATTGTAGACTTTGGCTCTGCAGATGGTTCAGTAGCAGAAGAAACCGGTTCGGTAACCGGTTCTGCAGATGGTTCAGCCTCTGGAATTGGCTCACTCGTTGGTTCTGCCACAGGCTTTGGCTCTGCAGAGGGTTCACTGTCAGAAGGAACGGGTTCACTTGTCGGTTCCGCTTCGGAGTTCGGCTCTGGTGAAGGTTCACTCGCGGGTTCCGCAGGAAGCTCCGGCTCAGGGGACGGCTCGCTCTCGGCAATGGGTTCACTAGTCGGCTCTGGTGAGGATTTTGGTTCTGCAGATGCCTCTGTTTCAGAAACGAACAGTGAGCGCTCTGTCGACGGTTCCGGTTCAGAAGTGGGTTCAGCTGATGGTTTCGGTTCTGATGCAGGAACACCAGAAGGTTCGGGTGAAGAACTTGGCTCTGGTGACGATTCAATTGGAGCTGATTCAGTACTCGTAGTATGAGTTGGAGTTGCTTCCGGTTCCGGCTCCCCAACAGGCTCAACAGTTGCGTGAATTTCGTGGTGGTGATCATGCTCATGCCGCCAGGGATCGTGGTGATCATGTCCTCGGGGTTCGAAGAATGATGGGCTACTTCGTCCCTGAACCGTGTTTTCGATTGTTGTGAGTTTCGGTTGTTCAACCTCCATTCCAACATCACTCAAGTCACCATCCTGAATGCAGTTCTTTCCAGTGGTGTCGAGAGTCTTTTCGGATGGACAAGCACACATGAATACACTATTCACGTAATCAAACTTGCAATCCCCAGAGCAACCCATATTTTCGTATTGACATTCATCGATCAAAGGCTTCATATCAACTCTACTGAGGTGGTATTTTCCAATGGTATTACCATTCTCTCGCAGCATTTTTTCAATGCTCTCTTGCATAATTTCCGGAGTGGGTGTTGGCGGATAACTGATCCTGAACATCACCCGACCCTCATTTGTAATATTGTATACTTTGATAACAGAAGCAGACGATGGAAACAGATTCTCACGAATATTGTTCTCAATTTCAGCGGATACGTCTCGGTAAACCCTAGATTTTGGATCCATGAGTTCATCGTTCCACGTGAGGTTATCCAACCAGATAATGCCATTCAATGCTTCAGGTACTGTTTTGAAAATAGTCTCGTCGGTCGTTGGCCATGGTGTGAAACTAGACGTTTCCGGTGGTGGACTTGACGGTGGATTCTTAATGAATTCCTTGCTTCCGGCGGCTTTGACACCGTCGTAACTCGGTTGTGCATTGTCCAGTGGTTGAGTTGCCTCTTGCGTTAGGATAACACCGGCTGAAAGTAAAATACATTAATTAAATATTGAAATACACTGACAAAAACAAAGATTTTTAAAAAATACGTCTTTACTTATAGCAAGAAACGTCTGGCTTGAAAATGTTCAAGAGTAAAATATCTTGCGCTGGGAAAATAAAAACTTTCGTCAAGTAATTTTGTACTTGTCCCAAAGACGAGAACAATTTCTTGATGATAAGAAAACGATTTCTTAAACTAAGTAAAATTGAATTAATTCATTTAATAGTTTTTTAACCTCATTCCTAAAATATTTTAATGCAAAAACCACTTGAATTGATTTGAGAACTAAATTTCTTGATGTGGACAAATCTTTCATATAATTCTTGGATTCTTGGAATAAGATTTTTTTTCCTTAATGTGCGATATTGTGCGCTTAGTAATTCACAAGCCACGAATTTGTTGACACAAGTAACGAAATACTTCTCAAAAAACACTTGTCTTCTCAGTGTGCTTTCTGATTTGTTTTATTGTGAAATTGAATATTACTGGCTGCTAATATTGCTATTATGAGAACCACCGCTAGTACGGTTAAGCCAAAACTCCAACAGGCTATTCTCCTCCAGTACGAACTCTTTGACCTCTTATCCTTGGTGACGTATAACTTTTCACCTCTGAAACACAAATTCATGAGCATTAGACATTTTCGCATGAAGTTATCATCAATGCCAAAGCAATTTTATACAGCTTTCAGCTAAGTCTTCGCACCGAGAGAAGAAAAAAACATGTTCCCAAAAAATTCGTGTTTGAACGAGAAAAATCGCAAGATTTCAGACACGGATAGGCGGGCTTTCAACAACGAAATATTTGAACTTAAGGCCCCGTTGGATTATCTTTCGAACGTTATCTCGATTGTTTTTTCATCTTCATAATCTAAAATATATCACGATTTCCATTCGATTTTATATTACGCAGAAGTCCTTAAAAATTATGATTGTATTTTATATAGGATAATCGAATCAAGTAGAAAATAAAAAGGGGTTCGAGAATATCCGAGAAGGCATGTGATCGTTATTTTTTGCGTCACTTGTTGGTGCTGTTTTTTACTTCGACCAATTCCATTGGTAGTAAGCTTCCGAATGGATCTGTAGCAATTCCCTATCCTTATTACAGTCATATAACTGTAACACCAGGCTACAGGGTGTCTGTAGGAAAATATTCAACCTTTTAATGAAATAGAATTTTTGAATTTATACCAAAGGTTAAATATCTGCGAAACTGCTCGGTCGGTTGCGCCTATCCAAAATACTAAGCGACAAGTTTTTTGAAGGAAAAACTTTTGAAATCGGTGCAATAGTTCTTGAGATATAGAGGAAAAACGAAATTTAAACAAATTGTCATATTTCAGGACCGATCGGACTGAAACAGCGTGCCAAAGTTGAGCTCAATCATAGTTACAATGAGCCAAAATTTCACATTTTTATCTGCAAATTTCACCGTATTTATATTGAATTTCCTAAAAATTAATCACCAAAAACCCAAGTTGTCATATACATACACGCATACACGACCCTAAAAACATCATTTCTTCACTTTTCATAACATTCTAGACCATTTTCAATCGAAATTAGAAAATCGAAAAAATCGGTCAAATACAAGGCTTCCATTCGGAAGCAAAAAACTGAACATTTTCAAAGCGCGTGTTCAATTAAGATTGGGAAATAAGTCCGATAGAGAGGATATTGTAAATAAATAATTTATCATAACAATTAACACTCTAACAGCCATTAGATACAGTAAATTATTAATGTGCAATTTCCTTCCTATTGGGTTAATTTCCAAATGTTACTCAAAAACGCTCTTTGAAATCAAGAGAATCGGTTCAGTTTTTTTTCAACATTTTTTTGATTGCACAATCATAACTTTTGGAAATTCCAGGGCTGTGTAAAAGTGCATGGCAATTGGAGAACATTTCAGATTAATCAAGTAAAAAGCAACAACCAAGATCACGTTGGAAAGATAATACAAGCGGACCTTAATCGAAAGATAATTTCGTCCTAAATTGCAGGATTACTATTACATCATTATTATCCGATTTAAAAATTCATTCCTTATCTTTGAGTATTGGATAGTTGAAACGAAGAATTACTCTCCCCTGTTTCGCCTAAAACGAAAATTTTTCAGGAGCAGAATATGTATGGTATTATAGAATAATGTATAGGTAGTGCTAGAAATAAGATTTCTTGGTTGCGCAGAAAATAAAAATTCTTTGGAACAACTGAATCTACTTTTGCGACAGAAATTTTCCATCTCAGAAACACCCGAGTCGAATATTTTGCCCTGAAAAGTCTGGGAGACGACGGCTGAATTATTCTGCTTATCGGGAGACTACTATGAGTTTTAAAAGTCGCGGGCGATTTGAGTGGGATTTCTCATCCATTGAAGATCGATTATATATATCTAAAAACGAATCATTAGTGCAAAAAAATTAATTGTTAATCGGTCATTTGCCCTGCACACGCTTAAAATTAAAAAAAAGTCGAGGGCCTCCAATTTTCGAGCTACGGAGGTTTTTTTCAATACAGCTAATTTCGTTTTGTTTAACATCACAATTTGCCCTATTCACGTAAAAGACAAAAAAATATCCTTATAATATTTAAAATATATTTTCGATTCTTTGAGAAACATTTTTTGGGCTATTTTACATGAATGGAGCAATTTTTTATTGAAAAAAACGAAATTAGCTGTGTAGGAGACGAATTTCAAAAACCTAATTCGTAATTTATTTATTGTATACATTTTTTCAAAAATTTTGAATAAAAACCTCTGTAGCTCAAAAATTGGAGGTCCTGGACTATTTTTAACATTTTAAGCGTCTGCGGGGCAAACGAACAATAAACAATCAATTTTCTATGCTAATTATTCATATATTTTATTCATAATCGATCTTCAATGTGTGAGAAATCTCATTTCAATGGCCCGCGACTTTTGAAATTCATAGTAGTCTCCCCTTAATATGTCCCGTTTTGGGGGGTTCCCAGGTTTTCCAAAGATTTGGGTAAAAGGCCCATCGCATCTTTTTCTCTATATTCTGTCGATGTGAATGTGATTATTCGTTCATAACTAAATAAAAAGGAAAAAACAAATCATTTCCATTAGATAAAAATATTACGAATCGCATCTCCATAATTTTCTAATTCTTTAATTAATAAAGATAATTTTTTATTAAACAGGCATAGACTAGAGGAAAATTGCCAGAGATGGAGTCAAATATAGTCTGCAGGATCGGAAGACATCTTAGGATTTGAAAGGTCTTTAAAAAAATCCGTCGACGCAAAAAAGTTTTTGAAAGACGTTAAACAAAATATTCGACCCTGCACTCTTGAAATGTTAACACTGAATTCACCATGCGATTTTATTGGTTCAAACGAGATTTATTTGAGAAATTCTTTTCCCAGTGCTAGGTCACAGTTTGTGAGTTATTAGAAAGCTTTCCCATGGTTACATTGTGCTTTTTTTCAACGACTCTCATTTTCTATTCTGAGGTGACACATTCTAAACACTCGATGAATCCCTCATGATCACCGTTATTTATGGTTTATTTTCTGTTTTCTACGTGGATTCCCATGAATACCTGACGTATTTCGAAAGCAGAGGGTCGGAGGGGGAGGGGAGGGAGTTAGTTTGCCATCTGATCTGTTCCAAGGGGGGGGGTCCAACTCCTTCAAAGCCAACTCCTAGTTGATGATTTGAGGTTTTTTGGGTTGTTTATTCTTTTTGGGTTGGTTTGCGTTGGCGTATTGGTACCTTAGGGCATTCAGCCAATGGGAATAGTCGACGAGTCCAGCGGCGGGGTCTCTCAGGCTGAGTCCCTCGCGGCCAACACCCGGTCCCAAATCGAAACGTACACCAGCTACAGTCGTTTCGACATCTGCGCTTGGGCTGCTGCTAATTATTTGGGATTTGGATAATGAGATTTTTTTATCAATCTTCTATTCAATGAATGAATTTTAGTGACTCTGCTGCTCTCATTTGAGGACAATTTTGGCCTATTCTGAAGGATTTATTTTTCTCGAAAATATATTTCACTGTTTTTGGCTCGTGGAACGTGGGAAGTTTGCGTGATTGGTTACGACTCTGTGGGACGTAAACCAGAAAATTGATTGACCGATTGGGAAATTGAAGTATGTTGCAACAGTAGAAAACGTCATCCAGTCAATTGTTGGATTTTATTTCTAATGAAATCGTGTGAGCATAAATTCAACGATTCGACGTTTAATTGGCATTGGCATTTGTTTTTTGATTAATGGAGATCGATTAATGTGACGGGGTGTTAGGATGAAATTTGAAAGAAAAGGCGAGCAAATAGAAAATGCAAGAGAGAGAGAGAGAGAGAGAGAGAGAGAGAGAGAGAGAGAGAAAGAGAAGATCGGCAAGGCTCGGATGTCTTATCCTTCGAGTGTCAGGGGGATCGTATCACTTTGGATGAAAAATGACACCGACAACTTTTAAACACGGAAATTTTTTTCACCTCTCTTTTGAGATTCGAAAGCGGATATGAGAGTTGATGAATGGGTTAAGAGTTATTTTATTGAGGGAATCGGTGGAAAGTGAAGAGGAAAAATGAGAAAATCATTGTAAATTGTCAGGATTTTGATAAGTACCTGATGTACTTCCGATGTTCATTGACTGGTACAAAGTACTCTTCATATGGATCATTTGGTAAATCACACGCTTCCTGCCCCTTTTGGTGATTGTTTCCGGTTGCGTAGGGCCTCATTGACACAAGCTCGAGATTCACGGCCTCAATTTGCTCCTTTTTACCATCTGCAATATGGAATTAAGTGAGATCAAGGTCACAGAGTTGCCAGGTGAAATTTGACACTTCCTGACCCTCATATTCTCGGTGTATGGGTAAATTGGAACGTTATGAATGCGGAGAGACACAGGTGACTTTCCGTATGCGTTTTAAAACTCGTTTTGGAATCAATCGCAGTCGTTCTTCATACGTGCATTAAGGGGAAACTACTATGAGTATTAAAAGTCGCGGGATATTGCAGTGAGATTTCTCATACACTGAAGATCGATTATATATGTCTAAAATGAATAATTAGTTGAAAAAAATTAATTGTTTATTGTTCGCTAGCCCCCCACGTATGGAAAAATTCAGTAGAAAGCCTAGCGAATTCGCTAGAAAATTCTATTGGAATTCTACAGGAATTCTATGGGGTTTTTGTGCTGATTCTATTCGATATTCGATAAGAAAAAGTCAATAGATTTGGAATTTCTGTTTGAATTTTTGTCTTGAGATTTTTTCTATAAGAATACTTGGGCATCAGTTTTATAATTTTTTTACACTCGGATTCTGCAATGCAAAACAAAACAAAATCCAACGGAAAAAACTTAGAAAATGTGTGCCCAGTAATTCTAATAGAAAAAATCTCAGAGACAAATTCAAACAGAAATTTGAAATCTATTGACTTTGTCTTATTGGATATCCAATACAATCAGCGCAAAAAACAAATAGAATTTTTCAACAGATTTCAATAGAAATGCAATAGAATTCCTATAGAATTCCAATAGAATTTTTTAGCGAATTCGCAAGGTTTTCTATTGAATTTTTTCATGCGTGCCCAGACGCTTAAAATATTAAAAATAATCCAGGGCCTCCAATATTTGAGCTACCGAGGTTTTTTGTCCAAAATTTTTGAAAAAATGGATACAATAACAATTGCGAATTATTTTTGTTGAAAGTCGACTCCTACCCAGCTAATTTCGTTTTAATATGAAAATTTGCACCATTGATATAAAATAGGAAGAAAAATTATCTTTAAAATATTTTAAATATATTCTGGATTCTTCGAGAAACATTTTTGGGGGCATGTTATATGAAAGGAGCAATTTTTTGTTAGAAAATAACGAAAGTCGTTGTGTAGGAGTTGAATTTCAAAATACTAATTCATAATTGTTATTGCACATTTTTTATTTATTTTGAAACAAAAACCTAAATAGCCCGAAAATTTGGGGTATTTTTAATATTTTAAGCGTCTGAGGGGCAAACGAACAATAAACAATTAATTTTTTTGCCCGCAACTTTCAAAACTCATAGTAGTCTCTCCTTAATTCTACACTGTAAGATAAATGAATAAGTTCTCAAACAACTCATGTTTGGGCCAACGAAATTGTTAGTTGAAAATTGCCAAAAAAATTATTGTTTGATTCGAATTTGAAAGTCTCAAACATGAATAATTGCTCTATAATAATAATATGAATGATAATATGAATGATTTGGCTCAAGAGGCGAATCATTCATATCAGACAGTGCCTTTTCAGGATAAAAATATTTTTTAGAGGGAGGTTTATCAAGAAATATTTTGTCCCTAAGTTACAAGATTGCGGTTATATAATTATTATTTTTTGTCTGCGATAATTGAATAGACAAAACGACAAACTACTATCCCTCGCTTCATATAAAACGAGCATTTGCCGGGAGCAAAATACGTATGGGTGCATTGAATAATGACGAAGTAGTGCTAGGAATTACATTTCTTGCTTGCACAGCGAATAAAATTTTTTTGAAAAGACCAGGAAAGGGGGCGCGTTTCGTGTGCGCATGATTGGCCACTCACTTCTGCATATTATTTCTGATCATTTCGTATTCATTTATTCATTAAAAAAGAATTAATGTCCGCTTTTATTTTGTTCAGATATGAGAAGAATGTTGAGAAAATGATCTTTAAGAATTTTTATGACAAAAAATTCAAGTCGTTTATGAAATCAAGGACAAGTGTTTTCCAAATGTGAAAATGTTAGCTTTTACGAAGAACTTTGCATCAATTTTCATATTAATCCTCTATTGAAAAATGGGTGAAATATTTTCGGTCAACAATCTATTTCGCTAAGCCTATGCTTGACTTACAAATATTTCAAGTTTATCTTAGTTTATGAATGAAAAATACGTATTTATGTATCAAATGTATAAAATAATAATGCATTACATACATAATACATAAATTTTATTATTATTATTAACAACATTATCATGATTTTATACTTTTTTTTATTAAATATTTTTATATTTATATTATATTTAAATAAATATTTGTTATTCATAAGCTAAAATAACCTTGAAATATTGTTACGTCTTGGTGAAATAGATTGCTGACCGAAAATGTTTCGCCTGTGTTTTAACCCCTCACGGACGGGGCCCTTCTGTTACCAAGCGTAGTGTGTGTTCAATACGGCTCGAATTCGATTATTTCTAATGAATGGAAAATTATGAAGCCGATATTTAATTGAAGTTACAGTATTCCGGTTTCCAATTTCGTATGTTTGATCGAGTTATTCTTCATAGATTTAGAAATGGTCAATTTTGAAAACAAGCGTTCACATTCGTATGGGTCGATGACCATACATCGACCCCGTACGTGAGGGGTTAATAGAGGACTAAATCTATTTTTGCAATCAACATTTGCAACAAATACTTTATGATAACTGCTAACAAACGACTTTTTCGGCAGACGTTTGACAAGACTTGTTTGAGAACTCCTGTTTTTTGTCAGTATATTTTTCTGCATTCCTATTTATAGAAGTATTTCAATACCAATAAACAGACAGATTACCGGTTCATGCGTTGGATCCTGTTTGATCTGTTTTTCCGCCAATAACAGGTGTACTTTTTTGGAATTGTATATTTCTTCAACTTATATTTGTTATTTATGGTAATTTCTTCGCATGAACGGTAAAAACATTGCGAGCTTCAGGACAAAGACGAATAGCATTCTATAAATTTTAATTTTATATTTCTCATGAACATCTTCAAGGAAATAAGGACGTTCATTACTGGATGTACATACACTGAGAAAAAAAGTTGCTAGTTTCCGGCACCAAGCTGCTGATCTAAAGAAATTTATGATTCCAGAAGGCATTTTACTGGGAATAAGGAGCTGGTCACTAAATTCCTTAGGGAACACCCCTGAAATTCATTACCAAAAACCTACTAATTTCAAGTGGGGGAAGTTCTATTAAATCAAGCGTTGGGTTTTCAAGGATATCCAAGTATTTTTTACAGTTTGGTACAAACTACACTATAGATTCAACCATTTTCAATCATCAACTTTGTCAATTAAATTGCGCGAGAAAAAAGTGAAAAAAAAAACATTAATATTGAGCGTCATTTAAATTACATTTGGCACAGAATTATTATTTTTTCAAACATTAGTTGTTTATAAGTAAAGAATTGAAATTGTTTAAACGTTCGGACACCTTTTTTTTTTCAGGTATGAAATCGATTTATGGTAAAATTCTAAATATGAATAAATTTGTTACGATTTCGAACAAATCATTTTTATGGTGGAAAATTTATTGTTTATAAATTATTTTCAGAAAATGCTTGTAATTAAAAAAAATTGCAATTTTTTAATTATTTCATCAATCTTTCTACAAAAGCAAACTTGCTAATTTTTTCCGATTTTTAAAATGTTTTCTAACGGTTTAATATCGAGATTCAAATTCAGGTCGGCAAAGTTTAAGTAATAAAATCATTGTAAAATGTCCGGAAACTTAGGATTCAATGAGGCTCAAATGAAAGTTCTAATGTTCGACTACAAAAGTAGAAAAGCATTTCATTGGAGAAAAAATAGCAAAAGTATTTGGATATCCTTAAATCAATAACGATTGGGTTCTCAAATTAAGGAGGGTTTTTGTCTTCTCTTTTACCGAGAATATTCAGACCTGGTTAATTCGGCTGGTAAGACAACTTGCAAAAATGTAAATTCATACATGTTTACAAAATTATTCTTCGCGTTCTTGAATGGGATAATTTGAATCGGGGTTTTAAATATTGAATCCAGAGGAGCTCAAGAAGGAAGTAATGAGCAGAAGGACCTCTCTATTTAATTTATCCGTGTCCCGGATAAAAGTTTTAAACGGTATTCATGTGTAGGTTTTGAAAGGAATAAAATCCAAGTATAATTAAAAATTAATTCGACATTGATTGAGTCAAGTCACCGGGTGACATGCTTTGAGTAACAAAGAATTCATAGAGTAGATTAATTTTATAACAGGAAAAATCATCAATTGAAAAATAAGAATGTTCTGAATTTGAAAACCCGGAAGTTGTGAATTCCAAAATACAAATTTCCTCGAAATAAGAGATAATTAGAAAGCATTTTAAAAATGGGGGAAAATTTTAGAACGTTTACTTTCGGAGGAAGATTGATGAAATAATTTAAAAATTGCAATTTTTGAAAATTACGATCATTATCTATAAATAATTTATAAACAATCAATTTTCCACCATAAAAATCATTTGTTTGAAATTCTAACAAATTTATTCATATTCAGAATTTTACCAGAAATCGATTTCATGCCTAAAAAAATAAGGTTTCCGAAAGTTTGAACAATTAAAATTATCGATTTATACACATCGAATGTTTATAATAAGTATGTAGAGAATGTAATTTGAATAACTCCGAATATTCATGATTTTTTTCAAACCCCACACAATTCAATTTACAAATTTGACGATTGAAAATGGTTGGATGTACACTGATAGAAAAACGGACAAGTTCCGAAACAAGTCTTATTTGGGCCAACAAAATCGTTAGTTGCAAATTACCAAAACAATAATTGTTTGTTCCAATTTAAGTTTCAAACATGAATAATTGTTCAGCTTGCAACAACAACAAAATATTTGGCCCTAGAGGGGCCAAATATTGAATAGCCGAAACGACAAACTACTATCCCCCATTTCATATAAAACGAGCATTTGCCGGGAGCAAGATATGTATGAGAGCATCGAATAACGAAGAAGTAGTGCTAGAAATTACATCTGTTGCTTGCACAGAGTATCAAATTTTTGTGAAAAGACCAAATCTCTTTTTGCAATAAAAATTTTTAATCTCGGCGCACGCTTCGTATGTTTGACAAAAAAAATCATTTTTTGATCATTTTTAACAAACGATTCCTTTAGCACGAGTATAGTATATTGTGTTACAAGTGCGTAAAGAAACATTTTTTCGCATGCTCGCGTATCCTATTTTTTGTAATACCTGCCGAGTTCACTGTTCGGAACCGTAATGGGAGTAAAGTGGTTGCTTTTGTGCAAGGTGTGTGTAAAGTTCAAGGTCGTGCGTGAAGTGAATTCTCCTGCGTAAAGCTTCACTTTACGCACGAGAATTCACTTTACGCACGACCTCTGAATTTTACGCACATTGTGCGTTACAAAAAGACTTGTTTGAGAACTTCGCCATTTTTCTCACAGTGTATAAGTAAAAGATACTTAGATATCCGTAAAATAGGTAAAAATTTCACTACCATCAGTGACCCGGTTGTGGAAGCGGCGCCGGTTATGGAATGAGCGTTCCATTTAGCCGAAAATCCATGGGACCCTATATATTTACTGTGATGAACAAAGGTAATTGGAAATTATGGGCTATATACTTTCATACGAAACCATACGGTTCCATAACTGGGCCTCGTTTCTTCAGGGTTCCACGACTGGGTCACTGACGGTATTTTTAGCATTTTTTTCGTGAAATTCAGAGATTTTTACGGGAAACTGAAATCTCTTTCTCTCTGTGAATTCATACGACATGCATTTTGTAAGGACTTACCATTAGCCTGTACACTGGCAACACTATTATTCAAAAAGCTCGCATCATCGTTGTTCCCATTGGCATGTACTCCATTGACCTTAGCTGGATTTTGACTCTTCTCCGTATCCCCAGGCACTTCGATTCTTGTTTCAGTCTTGTATTGAGCATCACTATCTTTCCTAGTTGGCTCTACATAGTGCTGGGACACGAAGGAATGTCCATTGCCAACTTGTGAGGAAGTGTTATTGTCTGGTGACTTGCTTCTCTGATCCTCCCGATTACTCTCCGTGCAGCTGTTTTCGTGAGATTCTTCCTCACTGCTGAATGCAGGGTTGTCTGTGCCACCAGAGTCCGACATTTTGTGTAAAGTCCTGATAAAAAACGCAAAAAAAAACTTTCTCTTTAGATAATTGCGATAGCTCTTGCCTGAAATTTTTCGTTTCCCTCGTGTTACCAGCAATTTCAGTTTGTAAATATTGGGAAGGATCAAACGAACGTAAAAACAAATTTTTCGCCTCACGTGAGGGTTTATAGAGACGCTCATGTGTGATGCCCGTGGGACCGTCTACCCGGGCGTTCCCAGACGATGTTTTGTCTCAACTCTTTTTCATTTTTTTTACTTCTTTACGTTTTTTACCAATTCTTCTTTTCGTACCTCTACCTTCAGCTCAAACCGAGTGCCCCCACAGGAGAGTGCAAAAAAACGCTTTAAAAATTTAACGGTCCAGGGTCTTTACGTATGTATGAGAAATTGCAAGGATGACGCAAACCAAAATAGCACGTTGGCATCAGATGTCTATTAAACAAGTAATACATCGGGTGAAGGCATTCCAAAACGATTAGGCCCGAAGGAAGATTTTAAAAGTGAAGGTTTTTCTCTAGGAAATCATTAATACCAATAACTTCTTCCTACGGTTTTTTATGTTTGGAAATGCGGAGGATGTAAGTATGCCTGTGTGAAGAGGTAAAAGTGGTTGACCCTGAAAAAGCCGGCCACAAAGAACCCTGATTCACCGAAGGGCTACCAAAGGCACGCGTGACGGCCGAAACAACTTATAGCCCTATACGTTTGTTGCAGAAATCGACGAGAGAGATGGAGGAAGGGAAAAAATAAATGGAAAAGCAAGAAAAAAATTGAAACAAGACTTGAGTTTAGTGCGCAGGGCGTTGGCTCGGCAATTTGAAATCGGTAACAATGCCCCAAGGGACCCGCGGGATAAAGAAACTTTTTATCACGTGGAAACTAGTCTGACGAGAGTGGGAAAACCATTCGCAGGACTATTTTATTATTGATAATATCTACCGCGAAATGGCGGAAGCCGCAGCGGCAAGACATTCTTTTGAGCGTGTGGTCATGAATGCTTAATGGTCGTTTTACGAGTAGATGCTTCAAAGGAAAATATTGAGAGAATTATTTGGAGATCGTGATAATAACATTTGTATTCCTATGGCTCGCTTCATTTAACAGTTAATTTATTACCAATTTATGAGCCAAAAGTTTTTTGCATTTCAAGGATGTTCACTGAAAATTGCAAGCACCCAAAAAATTTTGGATTTTTTATTCAACTAGGAAAGGGGCGCGCGCATCATTGGCTGGTGGTTTACCCATATTATTTTTAATCATCAGGTATTCATTTATTTATTAAAAAGGAGTTAATATCCGCTTCTATCATGATTGAATTTAAAAAAAAAATTAAAACATGATCTTCAAAAATTTGCGCGATGAAAAATTCACGTTATAAGATTTAAGAAATTAGGTGCATCTAAGAGTGAAATCGGTCCCATTTTCCAAGTGTGGAAATAAAAATCTTCGGAATAAACAGTCCCACTGAAATTCACAATTTTTTGTTTTGTTTCTCTGTCTTTTAAAACGTTATTGTTCTATTCTTTTTTTATTGCGCATATAAATTTATTGTTCGTAATAATTCCATAAAAGCTTTTTTGTTACAGCCAAAGGTTCAACTTTTTTTGAAATTTGAATATTCGAATTTTTCAAATATATTTTTAGGATAGACTAAGTTATCTTCTTTATGTTAATAAAAATGTTAAACCATCAACTCGAAATGATTAATCATAAATGGAATAGGTAATAGCTCGGCTTGAAGTTTTAAATATCTACAGTATTTGCATGGACACTCCAAGTTTTTCGTTGGCCATCGGATTCAGTATATTTTCTGGCACTAACCTCTGCTTTCTTTTTTTATTTTTGTAATTTATCAATCGGTGAATTATCAATTCCAAAATCAATCTCATAAGTGCGCCGGTATGAGAAACAATTTGTTTTTTAATTTCATCAGAACTACTAATTTTACACAATCATTAGAAATGTTGGTTTCATATGTTCTTCCATCAGTCGAAAAAATTGCAGAATTTTTCGCGAACGTCAAAAGAATCGATTTTATGGCAAATGGATAAACATTATTCTTCAGAAATGAAATAGATATGTTGCATCTAATGTAGGCGTTAGCATAAGTTTATGTGGAACTTGGTTTTCCTTTCCAGGTTTTCCTTCGCCACTGAATTCAGTTTTCTTCTCATTGGCCTCTATTTTTATTGTTATTTTTGCAATCCTTCAGTATCGTCAATTGGAAAATAAACCTCGTAAAAGCTCGTGTATAAAAACAAATTCTTCATTTAGTTCCATCAAAGTTACTCTAAATAATTACAAAGACTTTACTAAAGTAATTAACAAAACTTTTTTCGAATATGAGAAAATCCGATTTTCGATAAATCGTTGAACATCATAGTTGTTGTTATGATATAATAACAGTTATTCTTAATTTTTAACATGCAGCACAAGCTGTGATTTTGACTGACTAATCGCACGAATTTGCGCACGATATTTATCCCGCGAAGATCGCACGTCAGTCTTACTTTCATGCATGAGAGATGTGTCTGGAGAAAAATCTAAAACCGGTTTGACATATCGAATTGCTCGCTTCTAAATCGTATATTCAATTCATCATCTTTACGCCATTGAACAGCTCTCGAGAATTGTCGATTCTTTCTTCAGTAACAATTGCAATTTCTGTGCATTTTTTGATACTTGACAATTTTTGTCAACAAAATTACGCAACAAAATTATTGAATTGAGCAGTGAGAGAGTTGCAGTCAACGGTACTCCCCTCACAGAAAATATATCATGTTAGCTTCATCAAATGACCTTTTCAACAGCAAAAGGAAGATGCCTCTCTATGCACCATTCTATCTAACATTTTCCACTTTGAAACCTATACTTTGTACAGCTGAATCAAATGCACCTTCGGTTACTCAAGAATACTTTACTTTCTACATTCTTCGCGAGACAATACCTCTACACCCACGATATGGCGTGCCAACTTATCCCAAGTACTACTGGTATGAGGCATAATAACGAGAATAAATTAGTTATCCAACATGATACACGCGCACACCGACACTAGGTGGTGGACTTTAACGGCTGATATATCGTATTCGTTAATGAAATAAAGGATTATAAAAATATGATCAAGAGGTGGTTACCTTGTAATATTCATGCAATAAACTTTTCAAGGAATTTTATCAATTGCGATCTAATTACAGAAAGTATATATCGGAATTACAAATTGGTCAATAAAAATGAAAATAAAAAATTTATTCATTCTAGTTGATTTATTTTCAAAGAGAACAAAACGAGTGGTTTTTTGAGGATTATATCTCTAATTTTACTGATATTTTGCGTCTGCTAGAATTACCTTTACAATTAGGAAGTTTTATCATTGAAATTCCTGAATAAAATATCTGAGGCCCGGTTCACTGTTAAAAATTTTTGTCTGAAATTTTCCGTGCAATTTTGGAAATTTTTATCGAATTTAATTACTACTGAAATTTCAAGGAATTTCGTCATTGAAAATTCAGAATTTCGTGGAAAAATCAAAGAGAACTGTAGATTTCAGTTCCATTTTTCGCTGAAAATAAATAGAAAACCAGAAAATTTCGGTAAATATATTCTGGAATTTTCAGGACAGTGACACTGAATGCGATTTAGGGGGAAAAAATCATGAAATTTCAGATTTCCAGAAAAATTAAGAAATTCTTGTCTTTATGCTGTTTAAAATCCTGAAATTCTACTGAATTTTTAGTGAAACCTAAAATTTAATTATTTTTTTCCCTTAAATCGCATTTCGTGTCAGTGTCCTGAAAATTAGTAGTCAACTGTCCATGAAATTTCATTTTCTTTCTAACAGTGTTGGACCAAGCTCAGATTAAATAATCCTCAATTATGTATCGGAATAAATAAAAATAATCTGCCGATCAATTTTTATCGAAAGTTGATGGAGGGTATTTCATCAAAAAAACGTAATATACGATGTATGATCACTATTTGGCAATAATACCACTAATTATTGAGTAATTAGTCGATATTCAGACCGAATGGCTGAATAAAAGCACTCTACGATGAATTTCAAAAATAGTTTAACTGTGGAATAAATTTACTCCAGACATAAATTTATTCGGACGATTTGTTTGGCTAACAGGGCTTGGCGCAACCGGCTTCAGACTCAGGATCGGAATGTCACTGAATATTACCGATAGGTGTTCTTAATAAATCGAAGATGCGATAATGCATGTGATATTGCTTCGCGTGTGCACTGTTAGAAAAAACATGAAATTTCATAGACAGTTGACTATTAATTTTCGGGACAGTGATACTGAATGCGATTTTGAGGAATACAAATCATGAAATTTCAAATTTGACTGAAAATTCAGTAAAATTCCAGAATTTTAAGCAGCATAATGATGAGAATTCCTTAATGTATGTAAATTTCCAATCTAATATGAATATTCAGTGCCAAATTACATTGAATTTTCAGTGAAAACTGAAATTTCATGATTTTGTTCCCCACTAAATCGCATTCAGTGTCACTGTCCTGAAAATTCAAGAATATTATTTTATTTTTCACGGAATTTGTTGCAACTTCCAAGGGACTTGCAACAACTTGAACTGGTCATCGCCCGAGGGCCTTCAGCCAAGTATTTACATTTTATGTACCTAACAGTTGATACAAAAAGTTAAAGAATATATTTACCGGAATTTTTTGGTTTTCTATTCATTTTCAGGGAAAATTGGAACTGAAATTTACAGTTCTCTTTGATTTTTCCACGAAATTCTGCATTTTTAACGTCGAAATTCCTTGAAATTTCAACAGTTCAAAATTTTTTAACAGTGTGCAAAATTCCACTTTCCGCATATTGTGATGAAAAATAGGGTTTAATACTCGTGGGAAAAGTGCTTTTTGACCGTTGGGGGGGTAGCACTCCCTACCACTTAAAATAGTAAATTTCGACATTGGTGAGACTGAATTTTCACGAGTGTGAAGTTTAAGTTTCAATCACGCGAGCTGAAAATTCC